CCATAGTTTCATCTAAATAAAAATATTGTCAAATTTTAACACCTAATCACAGTTTATAGCTTAAAAGAATCAGTTCGCTCACTCTGCGTCGGCACTTTTGATCTCAATGTTCCAGTTTATACATTGCGCAACTCGGATTTGTATCCCTGGCGCATACAGAATCAAATCATAATAGCCCAAGGGCCTACTGTAAATTTTTACCGCCATCTGATAATGAAATAAAATATACCCCAAAAGCTTGTAAAAACGTACTTTACCGAATGGCACCTGTGACAATCCCAATCCTGAGCAAAGTGTTTAAAAAAAAATATTTTATATTAAAAAAATCACATAAGGCATGACAGCGCTAATTTTGTTTGCCCTTAAAGTTTTCCAGATAATAACATATTCAAATATATCTTGATATATATCGTTAACGGGAAACATTTTCTTCCTCTTAACATCGCACAAAAACATCTACACACGATTAGTAGGTAAAAATCATTAAAAATGTGAATCAATTTTTGCTGATTTAAAAATTTATTTGTATGCCCATTGTTGTGATTCATTTTTACAGGTTGTCATAGAAACGACAAAAAAACTACTATGATTATGGTTTAAAAGAATTGTCTAACAAGAGTTTATAATAATTATTATTGACTATTCACAATGAATTAGGATTGTAATTTTCAGAGAAAACACAATTATCGCTGTTGTGTCTTATGTAATTTTTTGAATATAAAATAATTTTTTTAACCACTTTGCTGTGGATTACAGATTGGCACAGGTGCAATTTGGTAAAGTACAATGCTGTTATATGTCTTTGGAGCATATTTCATTTTGTTATCAGATGGCGGTCGTAATTTGCAGTGGGCTCTCTTACTATTACCAATTAAGCATTCCAACGACCTGTCAAACAATAGCTGTCAGTGAGAAGGTCTGGTATATCTAAGGAGGTAGAGACATAGTCTTGCATCTTGAACGTTTTTTTTTATTCGAAATAATAGTCACAAAGCCTGCCAATTTATGAAAAAATGTATCTTATTTTTATTGTGTTTGACATAAAATATTTAAATGTAATCCATTATTCATGATTTTACGTATTCTAAACAGAATACATCGTATGTCGCAACCCTTGGATATATCAAATCTTCCCACTGGCGGTTCATTTGTTTGGAATGCCTAATACAATATATGACAACCGCTTATATTCAAACAGCAGTCTTCTGCGCATTCTGAATTTGTATCCCTGGAGTGGATGTTATTTTGGAACATCCAATTAGTCCGAGTGAGCAAACTGATTCTTTTAAGCTATAAACTGTGACCTAATCTCTTGTTAACGATTGAAAGTGTTCTATCTGACTCAATAATTAAAAAAACAAATGCGTGGTTTATTAATATGGCTGTACAAAATACCAATGCAGAATATACCGATATGTTACTGACAATAGGATTTTGTGAAGAAAATGCTCGAGAGAGTGTCAGGGTGTACTCTGAAAGGTTTCCAAATCGTCGTGTACCTAGCCACCCAACTTTTGCTGTTGTTGAGAGACGTCTTCGGGAGACTGGTTCCTTTGCTCCCAACACTGTTGATAATGGAAGATAACGTTTTGTAAGGATTGCTGAAGTTGAAGAAGACATTTTAGAACGTGTTGAAGAAGATCCATAATTAAGCACCAGACGAATTGGAAGGGAACTAGGAGTAAGTAAAGATGTCGTTCATAAAGTGCTTAGAGTACAATTGCTATATCCATACCATAAGAAGCCAGTACAAAAATTATTAGTCCATGATCCTCAAATTCGTTTAAGTTTTTGTCGATTTGTTAATATGCAAAGAGAAAGAGATCCAAACTTTGTCAAGAAAGTTCTCTTTACCGATGAAGCGGGTTTTACAAGAAGAGGTATAACTAATACCCATAATGAACATGTTTATGCCGTTGAAAATCCGCATGCAATGAAGGTAAACCATTTTCAGCACTAATTCAAAATTAATGTGTGGGCTGGAATAATTGGTAATTTCATTGTTGGTCCTGTCATACTTCCACGAAGATTAACTGGAGAAAATTATTTGGATTTTCTACAAAATACGTTCCCAGAATTGTTAGAAGATTTACCTCTCCAACTTCGGAGAGATATGTGGTTTATGCAAGATGGAGCTCTACCACATTTTTCTTTAAACGTTAGAAACCACTTGAATGAACAATATCTACACAAATGGATAGGCAGAGGTAATGACGCACCTGTAAACTGGCCACCACGTTCCCCAGACCTAACACCGATGGATTACTTTTTATGGGGACATCTGAAATCCACAGTTTACAGGGAACCTGTAGAAAATGAGAAACAACTCTGGCAACGTATTCAAGATGCAATAAATAATCTTAGAGGTGATGAAGAAGTTACGGAAAGGATACATTTTAATTTTCTTCGACGTATAAATATTTGTATGCATCAAAATGGTGAACATTTTAAACAATTTTTGTAAAATCTCTATTTTGATTAGGTATGTTGTAAATAAATATTTTTGTGAAACCTATACACTCTCTCTAAATTATTAAAACAGAAATTTAGCGAAAACCATGAGATTAATCGAGTCTTATCAGGAGTACCTTTTTTAAAGTAAATGAGTTGCGCAATCTAAATTTCATACTCAAATTCCTTTTCTTTCATTGGCGTAGAATTTTTAAAGGTGCAATTATTTAAAAAATCAAGTTCTACGCCTATGTATTATTATCGGACAAAATTTTAATACCATTTTTTGCCACATAAAACTCTACCAATATACCAAATTTCAGCAAAATCGCATATGCCGTTTTAAATTTATATGTGAAAAACGATTTAAAAATTGTAACTTCGAGGCCCTCTGGAGCCCAAACGAAGCAACGTTGTACTAAAGTAATTTTACTTAAATCGACTTATTTTGATCTAAGGAATATGTGGTATGTTTTTGTAAAGACCTTTTATATGGATGGCACATTTTCTTTTTGTACGAAATATTTTTATCAATTATTTACCATTCATGGCCTGGAAAATGGGCACTATATACCTCTTTTATATTGTCTGTTACCAAATAAGACTGCTGACACAACTTTTTCTGTTGCTTAAATCTAAAATTTTGGAAGTTTTTAATATAGTTTTTGAACCGATGGAGGCATTCGTAGATTTTGAAATATCAATACATATCGCACTAAGAAATGTTTTGTCAAAAACGAAAATAAATGGTTGTAGATTTCACTTACATCAAGCGTGGTACAGGAAAATTCAGTCTTTAGGGTTAAGTCAAATATATAAAGACAAAAACTCTGAAGAAAGTAAATGGTTTATTCACACTTTTGGGCTTACTTATTTAAAACCATCTGATGTTGAGGATTGTTTTATATTTGATTTAATGTCTTGCAAACCAAATAATGAACTGTTGGTTAAATACGCAGACTATCTATTACAATATTATATAGCACCTGATTCCGATTTTCCACCAAATATATGGGCAGACGAAAATCCATCTATAAAACGAATCACAAACGCTTGTGAATCGTTCCATTCTAAATTGAATTCTTCATTTTATTCTTGCCACCCTTCAATATTTATTTTTATAGAAAAGTTAAAAGAATTCCAGATCGATTCAAATTTAAAAATAAAAAGTTTAAATATTACAGCAAAAATAAAAGACAAGCAAGTCAGAAATAAATTAAAATTTATTGAAAATATGGTAAATATGCTTCGATCTGGAAAAATTTCTAGATTTAATTTTGTTAAAACTGTATCATATCAAAGTTCGTAAAAATGTAATGTGTGTTTTTAGCTCTAGTTTTTAAGTAATAGTGTCTTTGATTTTGGTTTAATAAACAATGTTATAGTAATTCTAGATCTTATTTTATTTTACCTGCTCCTTCCGGCCGAAAATACCTATACGATAAGAACGAACCCTTAAACCTCCGGCCGAAATTACATATCCCCTTTAGGTACCTGTCCTTTTTCCGGCCGAAATTACATCCGCACGGGGCATTACTGTATCTATAGACCACCTCTGGCAAAAATATGTCCCATTGAATTTTTAGAAACCAGTATTATAACAACTAATTTCTCGTAAATACGGGGGCAGAAATGTTAGATTGTTAGATTATAAGATTATTGGATTATATCGTTGAATTTAGACTATAAATGTTACCATAGTATTAATATGATTTGATTAAAGGATTTAAAAAAGTCATATTGATTTTTTTATTAATTAGAGATAAAAAAGATAATTTGGTTGTAAAACCAACATCAGGTTAAACTGATTTTTCGCTTCCCTCACTCTCGGGATTAAATGATCCTCTTTAACACCTTGGAATAAAATAATTTATCAACTTTTTAGTCTTCTTAAAAAATGTGAAATTTCAATATAGAAAAATTACCTGATAAAAATATAGAAATGTATCGTATAAATTTGCATTTTGCTTTTTGAAATTGAGATTGTCCAACTATCGATTTTTGTACTTAAATTTCGTTTGTGTAAGGTATAATAAAAGTTGTGTGCTATAGGTTGTGCTAATTTGTAATAGTCATCTTGAATAATGCTGAAAAAAAAATTAAAGCTAAATCTTTACGATATCATGAATATTCGGCTTTACTTATTTACAAGATTTATAGACATGAACATGTTTTTGTAATAAGATAATTTTCTGACTTAAAATCAGTTCAAAAAGTTTCGCGACGTTATAAATACATCATGAAAGATAAATTGAATTTTTTAAATGTAAAAAAACCTTAAAAATCAAAATATTGATCCCACAAAAAACACAGTAGAATATTTTGTTTTATCCTTTTCGAGACGAATTTTATTGAGCTATTGGATAAGTACTTCAAAATTAATGCTTTAGTAGTAACTTACAATACAGTTAAACTGTTAAAATTACTAAAGAAATATTTGCATTAAAAATATTCATTTTATATTTTCTAAGCAAAGAAAGAACGACTCAATTCGACAAGTTCATCTCTATAACGAAATAAAATTCAAGTAAAAAAGGAAATCAACTTACCATCTACAAAATATCCAGGATTCAGAACTCCAACTCTGTTGAGCCTACTCACTTCTTGACCACTCAAATTCTTGAACGGTTGATTTAATGCTACAAACTGCATAGAAAATCCAAACACAAATATCGCTAAAACAGCTAAAAACCTAGCTAAATCTTTCATCAGATTACCAATGATGATAGCCCACGGCCCGAACAAATGATGAAACGATAGAAAATCCAATATTTGAACACAAGCTAATACAAAACTCAAAGCGAACAATTGGTTTCTACAGTACAACATTGTGGGCCAATAGCCTTTGTCGATAAATAAGAATGCTAGTAAATGTACTCCCACGCCGAATATACTGAACAGCAGTACCGATACTTTAATCCACCCTAATCCGGATTTGTCACTGGGGTTGGTTAGCTCGAATAGTAACAGTCCGCTTAGCCACACTAACAGTATCCATTCATAAGAGTACGGTAGTAAATTTCTTCTCACGACGGGATACGGTGGTGTGATTCCTACTACTAACAGCCAAATCATTAGGTAAACATGTGATGTTAGGTACGACATGAATTTAATGATGGGAACTTTGTAGTATTTATGGCCTATTGGAAGGGTGAATGCTATCCATACCGGAGGACATATTATGAAAAACACGAACAGCAGGAGAGTACGCCACGCCGCCCAGTTGAGTGCTCCTCTCCACAATTCCTAAAAGAGAAATTTTGTATTATTCAATGTTTCTTGATAAATATTGGAAAAATTAGGGTCACAGCAAATATATTTTTTGAGTTAAACCAAATATTTTGTTTTCTACAATCTAGGTTTCTTCATAGTTTTACGTACGCAAATTGAATCATTTACTTAAAACTTACTGAATGTCATTTAGATGGTAGGTGAGAATATTAAATGCCCAGTCACTGCTAATGATATAGACACTATTTTTAGAGCAAACTCTCGAATTCCAAATAAACCTAAACCAAAACCAATCACTGTCTAGTTACTTCATAAAAAGAAGAAACACGATGTTATAGCAGCACCCAAATTAGAACGTCGACAATCTAGCAGCTCGGTCCCTGGACTAAAAGTGGAGCAGGTATCTAATCAATTGTTTATAAATGAAGACTTACAACCTTATTAAAACTGCTATTTAAAAAGGCTGTGATGCGGAGCCGTCTCTGTACTTTGCCCGCGGTATGAAGTCTAGCGCTGGCAATATAGAGACAAACGCACCGTTTTTCGAAGCTACAAGAAAAAGCGGTAGGTTACCGTTAAGTCATAGAGATGGAATTCTCGGACATTCGACGTCGTCTAGAAACTACTGGTATAGAGCTGGGCTTGGTATAAATAGCGCGAGTTGTCGACGAATGGGCAGATTGAATTTAAACGATAAATTTTAATAAATAAATATATTAGAATTGTAAATTATAATAAGTATTATATAAATTAATTAGTTTGTTATAAATAAATTGTAGAGTGTTTCACATAAATAAACTATAAATAAATTAAACAAACGTTAAATTGGTATCAAAAGTAGGATTGTAAATAAATAGTGGACAAAAATGGCTAAAAAACTGTGTGACTTAAAAATGGCTAAGTTAGTCTAGAATTGGAAAAATGTGAATTGGAGACAACAGAGAAGAATTCAGATCTGACAAAACGACTTAAAAAACTACTAGAAAATAAAGGCATAGATTAGATTTATTTTTTAATCATTCATCTGCTATAATTTCTTCATTTTCTTCTGATATGGAAAGTAAGATATTTCTTCTGACATTTCTTCTTTGGATAATAAAGTTTCTTCCATGAAAAATAAATATTCTTCAGATGTTTCCTCCATAAAAAATTATATTTTTTCCCTAAACGAAAAGGTGTCTTGAAATCTGTTCTTTAGAAACTAAAGTTTCTTCTGATATCTCTTCTTTAAAAGATGAAATTTCTTCTAATTTGGAAAACAAAATCTCTTCTATAAAAGATGAAATTTCCTTTGATATATCTTCACTAAAAAATGAAATCTCTGCTGAGATGGAAAACAAGATCTCTTCTATAGAGGAGAAAATAAAACAGATGAAAAAAAAAGATAAAAGAACTGGAACATACAGAACCGGCCAAGGACGATGAAATAAAGTGCCATGAGGTGGAGTCTAAGTTGAAATTGGAAGGAGCTGTAAACTCTGCTCGTGTTAAAGTCCCAACTTTCGACTACCTTAAACAGTTCGAAACAGCTGCCAGAGCAAACACATGGTCTGAACGAGAGAAAGCAGTAAATTTAACCATCGCCCTTCAAGGAGACGTTAGATGTTCTTCAGACAATACATGTGGAAGAGACGGATGATTTGGAACAACTCAAAAAGAGACTAAATATGCGATATGGCTACGAACACTTGCATCATTTATACCAGTCACAGTTAAAGAATCGCAAACAGTAAAGAGACAAGACTCTTTAAAAATATGAAGTATATATTGCCAGGTTGGTGCGATTTGCTTACCCATCAGCTCCGGAAAACATGATGGATTGTTTGGCAGTCCAAACATTTGTTGATGGACTCCGTGACCACGAGATGCAGAAAACACTCCGCTTAGTCCGCCACAAAACATTGGTCGATGTCTTGTCCGCTGCTTTAGAGTATGAGGCACTTACGCATGCTTCTGGTAGATACAGTAAAGTAAGGACTGCAAAAGAGGAAGAAGGGGAAGATAAACTCGACCAATTTGTTAACATGATGAAGAGCCTTACTGATAAAAAGATGAAGTCAAAGACCATTAGGTGCTGGAATTACGGTGAATTGGGACATGTACGCAGTTCGTGTAAACGCCCTAGGGTCACAACAAATAAAAACTACACGCCGCAGGAAAACTAGAGCGGGTCGACCTAGAGGGGACAGCTTCGACCCGAAACCGTTCCAAAGACCCTCTCATACTGATAGCATCTTTAAAATGTCGCAATGATAGTGTATATGTAGACAGCGAAGTAAATGGTAAAAAATATACACTCTTGGTGGATACTGGAGCAACTAAGATCATTATACGACCAACAACCATAAATAACTGAGAGGTTTCTATCAACAAGATTGCGACTGCGGACTGCCACAGGTGAAAGTTTTAACATCCAAGGGAAAACCCAAGTTCAATTGGGAATTGGTACAGAAAAGTTCACTCATACTGTTATTGTCGCTGATGTCGAAGAAGATATTATACTTGGAATGGATGTAATGACTTTGCATGGTTTCCAGTTAGACTTTAAGAACAGAGTGATCAAAGTTGGTACCGAAGAGGTATTCCTACATCAATATGGGGACAGTACCGTGCCAGTTACTGTATAGGAGGATACAGTGATACCTGGCAGAAGTGAAACCGTTATAGTAGCACGGCTTCAAGAAACTGTGGAAGAAGGAACACCTATAATGATGTAACTTTGGAAACACGATGAAGAGGTTAAACGAGGAATTCTGATTGGAAAAGGGTTGGTCACGACTGCTAAAGAGATTCCAGTTCATCTTATAAACGTTAATGATCTCTCAGTTACCATCAAGAAAGAGACCAGAATCAGAACTTGTGTACCAGTACCTTCCATAATTCATCAGACAGCAACTTCTGATAATTCCAACGACAAATTCGAGTAAATGATTGCAGTTGCTGGTCAATCTCTAAATCAATTAGAGAAAAAGAGAATAAAAGAATTTCTTTGACGATCTTGTGACATTTTTGTACCAAAAGGAGAAAATACAGGAAGGACTTCTGTTGTAAAACATAAAATTGACATTGGTGATACCTGGCCGATTCGTCAATCAGCTAGAAGATTACCAAAGACCAAGAGAGAGGAAGCTGAAAGGATTGCTCAGAAAATGAAGAAAGACAGGGTGATAGAACCTTCTACCAGCCCATGGGTCTCTCCGGTAGTCCTGGTTCAGAAAAGGGATAGAAATATGAGGTTCTGTGTGGATGTCCGTCAGTTGAACAATGTTACCAAGAATGACAGTTACCCTCTGCCTCGAATAGACGATACCTTAGACAGATTGGCCAGAAGTAAACTATTATCTATCTTAGACTTGAAGTATGGATGCTGGCAGGTGGAAATGAACCCAGTAGATAAAAAAAGACAGGTTTTTCCACCGGATCTGGATTGTGGCAATTCAATGTTATGCCATTTGGACTATATAATGTTCCCACGATATTTAAAAAACTTTTAGAAAATGTATTGAGAGGGTTATCCTGGGAAACATACCTGGTGTATTTAGACGCCATCATAGTCTTGGGAAAGACATTTGATGAACATCTGAAAGAACTTAGAAGATGTTTTTAAAAGACTTCAAGCTGTCCAACTGATGCTAAACCCTAAGAAGTGCAAATTATTTCAAAATAAAGGTATTTACCTGGGTCATGTAGTCAACAAGAATGACGTGGCTGTAGATAGGGAAAAATGTGCTTCTATCAAAAAGTGGTCATAACCAACTGATTTACATCAGATAAGAAGTTTTTTTGGGCTATATATGTACTATCGAAGATTCATTCTGGATACTAATGCTAGTAATGTGGGAATTAGAGGAGTGCTTTCACAGATTCAAGGGGGAAAAGACAGAGTACTGGGTTATTTTAGTAAAGTGCTCTCGAAACCTGAGAGAAATTACTGCAACACGAGAAGAAAACTCCTGGCAGTTATAAAATGCGTAGAATACTTCTACCAATACCTATATGGAAGGGAATTCTTAATCCGTACCGATCATGCCGCCCTTAAGTGGTTGATGCAGTTCAAAAACCCGAAGGGTTAATCGCCAGATGGATTGAACGATTTCAAGAGTACGACTTTAAGATCAAACATAGAGCCGGAATATGCCACAAAAATGCCGATTATCTTTCTAGAAAACCGTGTCCAGCAGAGTGCTCCCACTGCAACAAAGCGGAATCCAAAGAAAGTGGACTAGTGAGAACAACTGTAGTCAACGATAAATGAGCCCCTCCTAAAATTAGGAAAGAACAAGAGAACGATACCGTTTTAAAGAAGATGCGACAGTGGATAAAGGAAAATCGTCTACCTACTTGGCAAGAAGTATCTAATCCTCTCCAGTACTTTAATCATATTTGGCTCAGTGGAATTCTTTTATACTGGAAGATGGCTTATTAAATCGAGTACTTGAAAATGATGATAGTTCCGAGAACAGAAGACAGTTGATTATTCCAAGGAGTAGAGTAGTCGAAGTACTTCGTTAGTTACACGACAGTCCATCAGGAGAACATCTTGGTGTTAAGAAAACCCTTCAGAGAGTTTGGAAGAGGTTTTACTGGATGAAGAGGTCCGGTAGGGTTGCCACCTATCTTTTTTTTTGAAAAAGACAGTCCTTTTTTCAAGCAAAATGTCCTTGCGACTTTTTAAAGCTTAAAATGTCCTTTTTACGGCATATGTCCTGTTTTACTCTTTTGTTTGTTTTTTTTTTGTTCCCCATGACCGAGAATGGTAATAAATACATAATGGTGGTTATGGATTATTTCACGAAGTGGGTGGAAGTTTACGACATTCCCAATCAAGAGGTAGTCTCTGTGAAATTATTCATTTATTAATTAAAGCATTTTATTAAAATCCTTTTCAAATTTCCTTTCACCTATCATAACATTTGAACCCTTTTAGCTTTTTAGCTATCTATAGAAGGTTTTATCTTTAGACGGTTTTGAGTTCGAATACCATTTATCTTGAAGATCATTCACGGAGCAGTCACAAATTAGAATTATGAATAAGGATCCCGAATCACTTGGTGGAAGTTGCCTGACCGGGGTATAATGTTATGTACCTCTACAGTTTAATAAAGTTAAAATATTAGAGAAACTTAAAATAGTATACGAATAATCACGGAACAATAAATAATAATAACCTTGCATAAATATTATTTGTAAATTTTTTGTCAGTTATTTTTTAGACAAATAATATGTTTCATGCCCGATACGTTCTGTTATATTGTTTTTCTAAGCATATGACAAACGGCTTGCGTAAGATAATGATGTAAATTTCTAGATTTTCTTGTCAAATTTTTGTGAAATTATGAATACATAATATGATGGCCATGTCCGAAACTCAAGCCTTATATAGTCTTAGAATCACTTTTTCTAAGCACATGTCAAACGGCTTCTGTGTGAGAAAATGGTGACAATTTGCATACATTTTTCCAGCAACTTTCCTATGTTCTGAAAATTTGAAGACAACACTCTACACTTAAGCCATTATTTTTTTATGGGCTCTTAAATTCATAAGTTTTTATTGCAAAAAATTTCGTTGATGGGAAAATAACTAATAGACAAAATTTGTCGCTCCTAAAAATTGCCGCTCTACGCTAGAGTCTTAATTTTTTTAATAAACTGTTGTTTTGAAAAAGAAGTAAGAAAACTTTTACATTCAACAAGATTTTGTAGGTTTATCTTTTATGATGAATAAAATTTCCATTTTTTCCATTCCCTACTGGACGGCGCAATCACAAAAATAATACACGTCTTCTTTCGACTTGTAAATTAGGTTGTGGCAGACATACTAAAATTTGGGTGGCACCAAATTTTTCGAAAACATTTGATTGAATACATTTGATCGAAAACATTTCATCCAAAAACAATATATCGAATAACAATTGATCCAAACGAAATATGATCCAAAATAACAATAGTCGAAAAGAAAACTGATCGAAAATAGATTTTATAGAAGAAGCTATTTATCGAAAAACTCAATATACATAAAATGAGAATAATAAAAAACCTAATATACCTAACCTTTGCGGCCTCGAGCCATCGCGGATTGCTTTGTAAAAAATTATACAATAAATAAAAAAAAAAAAACAAAAAAAATAACCAACTTACTTAACCTGTGTGTGATCGATCGGTTAAATTCAGATTAGACCAATTAGTTAGGTTTTTATGTAAAAAAAAATTTCGGGGCACGCTTGATGGCTCCAGACGCTGTTGTGATCGGGCGCTGTTTTGACTGACGTTATTTAAATGAGCGCTATTTCATTCAGGCGCTCTTCTGATACACGTTATTTTATTTAGTGCTATTTCGTGACAGAGTAGTTGATTTTCAATCTAATGAATTTCAGATCTATTGTCTTTTCGATAAAATGTTATTCGATAAAACGTATTTTCGATTAAATGTTATTCGATAAAATATAGCTTTATCAAATTTTCAATTCGATCAAATGTTTTCGATCATTTTTGTGCCGCCCCTACAATTTACCTATCGTTTACCTGAAGATAACGTTGCACGACCGTATGCGCGATGACTTCCTTCTGCTCGTTTTCTATCAGCACATCTAAAAATTCTACATTTCTTCTATCAGTCGACGTAAGAATTTTTCCTGCGGAATCAGCACCAGCGGCCAACGCCAAAAGTTCAGTCGCCATTGCTTCACAAAATTTTCCTGCGGCTATCAAATCTTTAGCCCTTTCCTTTTCTTTATTGGAGAGAACGATTAGTATGTTTGACAGCTTGGCAGCAGTGTCTACTGGAGCTGGAGAGACCAGAATAAACTCTTCAATTGGCTTATTGTTGTGATTTTTAGAGCATACCATTAGATTGTAAACGAACCTGAAAAAGTAAGCCGAGTATAGCTCATCTATAATTATAGTTCAACAAAGAACAAAAGTATCGACCAAAAAACAAGTGTAATAACCAAGGAACAAGACTGTAGACCAGATAATATTGACATTTTTGACCAGTTATGTTCTAATTCCCTAAGTCCCCCTCTGCCTTACTTCAGCCACCAGTTGTTCGATTACCAAAAATATTTAAAGAAATAAGTCAACTCCTTGAAACTGAACCAATTGTTGATGAACTGTTACGCTTTTCTGAATTCACAAATTTAATTTAATAGACTTTGAAAACAAACTGCTTCTTTCTTTCATTTAACAACTTCATGGAGACATGCCCGAGATCAATTTAGACGCATCCCTTTTAATAAAAAAAATATCGTTAGATATATATGTGATCAGTTTTTGTTTCATTCTGATAGTAGTATAAAAAAACATCATGTCGAACACTCTCTCAAATCCATTCATCAAAAACACGAATATTCAAGCAAACGACCATCGAACGACACTATAACTCCCACCCCGTCAGTCAGCGCTAGAGATTATCAAGATCCTAATAATGTTTCTAATGTACAGAGTGAGCATTTTTTAGAATTTGGTCAAGTTGGGATCGAAATTAAATAAATCAACCATATAAGTTCACTAATATTCATTTATTTTACCAAAACTGTCGAAGTCTATTCGGCCCACATACTTTGATTACTATTCGGTGCAAGAGAGAGGTCCGACACGCCCAACATAGGGCGCGGCCATTTTGATTCCTATGCCACAGTTTATAGCTAAAGAATCAGATCGCTCACTCTGCGTCGGCACTTTTGATCTCAATGTTCCAGTTCATACACTGCGCAACTCGGATAATACAATATATGACAACCGCCTATAATAAAACAGCAGTCTTCTGCGTATCCTGAATTTGTATCCCTGGAGTGGATGTTATTTTGGAATTTTCAACTGGTCCGAGTGAGCTAACTGATTCTTTAGTAATAAACTGTGACTCCAAAAAAAATATTCACTGACACGTAAAAGAAAATCAAAGTATGTGACTGACACTGACAGCAGCAAGCAAAATATCAGGTGCGTTTTAATCATCCGTTTCTGCTTCCGGAATTGTCGGTTTAGTCGTTTTAACCTGTCAGATTAAAACAAGAAAACCGACAATTCCGAAGCAGAAGCGAAATATTGCGCCAAGATGTAGGCAACACGTAATAAGGGATCAAAATGGCGGAGTTTTCTATCTCCATTTAAAAGGCACTCAGAAAGCTGCGCAGTGCTACCAAAGTATGTGATTCGGCCGTACTAAACTTATTTTCACAAATTACGGCTCATTTTCGAATTTTTACAAAGTGTTTGCATTCACTGAAATTTGGTTCAATGACAGCATTTATGACACTGATCTTTTTAATTCTAATAGTTATCATACATTTCGTAAGGATATAAACTTTGAAGCAACTGGTAAATCTAGAGGTGGAGTTGTATTTTCATCCGTAAACAAAGAAATTAACGCCATTATGGTTGATACTGACTCGGATTGTTTTGGCTCAAAAAAAATCTACTTAATAGACGTTGTAATGTGTAAACTTAAACGCGGAAAAAAGTTCGTATGTATGTATTATTGTTGTTGTTTACATTCCTCCAACTACCTCGGTATCTGATTACGAATTATTTTTTGATTCCTTAGAATCTTCAGCAGGTCTTTATAAAAGTAATTTAATAATTGTAGTAGATTTCAACGTGCGAGAATACGTATTGGGCAACAATACACATAAAGCATCGTTATTATATAATTTTAGTAAATTCTTTAATCTGTCCCAATATAACAACGTACTCAACTGTGATAATGTGCTTCTAGATCTTGTTTTTGCTAGCACTGATTGTGTTGTATCACAAGCTTGTGATATAGCTGCGCTTACAATCAAATTTCAATTCCATTCTGAAACAGTTTCACATGTTATTAGCTCAAAGTCCACTGAATTCAACTTTAAAAAAGCTAACTTCCAGCTCCTCTACAATGAACTACTTAACTTCGACTGGTCGTTCTTAGCGGACTTCACACTCTAACACTGCACTAGACGCCTTTCATGATTATATTAATAATATATTTCTTAAATATATCCCCCTAAAAAATTTCAAGCGCATTTAATTTCCATGCTCAACAAGGACATGGAGAATTTTAAAAAAATCTGGTAATTCGGTCGACAATGACATTTTTAACAGACTACGAGCCGAATTTAAATAATTAAGTTCCACTCTTCACAAAAAATACATGGATACGCTAGAAGATAACATTAAAACAGATCAACGCGCGTTTTGGTCTTATTACAACTCAAGAAGGTTTTCTTCGACCATTCCAGATACTATGATTTTTAACAAACAACATCTAGATAATTCCTCCGACATTGCTTCCTCTTTTGTTAGTTTCTTTTCAACTTCATTCTCGGATCACACATCTCCTGACAATACTCCCAATGTGCCACTAGGGCTCTCCCACGACTACTTATCTTTTACTTAAGTATCCTAATGTGATATAATTCTAGCTGTCAGACAGCTAAAAACGAATATGACAATGGGACCCGACGGAATTCCTGCTTTTTTTATTAAGGACTACATTTATGCACTATCGACTCCGTTTGTCAAATATTTAATATTATTATTCGCACAAGCACATTCCCTAATAAATTATTCCAAATTTTAAAAATGGAAATAGGGCATTAATCGAGAACTACCGACCCATTGCAGTTATCTGTAATTTAAGTAAAATTATTGAAATATGTATAAACCGAAAACTTTATGCTCATTTCACTAATTACGTAATTCCTCAGCAGCATGGCTTTGTCAGTGGTAGGTCGACAGTAACCAACCTAATCGAGGCGACATAATGGACAGGTGGACGTCATTTAGACCGATTTTTCTAAGGCCTTTGATCGTATTAACCATAAAATTTTACTTAGCAAGCTGAATTCGGTGTCTATATCGCATGACCTGTACGAATTATTTTCACCGTACTTATATGACAAGTGGCAATATGTTAAATAAAATCCTCTAAAACCGATTATTTTCTACAATACTCTGGAGTTCCACAAGGTGTGTAACGGTTGGAACCGTTATTTCGACACAACCACCTCTCACTTCTTAAATGTTATTTGTCGTTTTCTTCTTCCTTGATTCGTATTGTGAAAATTATTTTTGACTTGGATGTCAACGAATCAATTTGATTTGAATTTCAATATATCTAGGCACATACTTTGATTTTCTTTTACTATACGGAGAATGGTCGCACTGCGCAGCTTTCTGAGTGCCTTTTAAAAGGAGATAGAAAACTATGCCATTTTGAACCCTTATTACGTGTTGCCTACATCTTGGCGCAATATTTTTAATAGGTGCGTTTTAATCATCCGCTTCTGCTTCGGACTTGTCGGTTTTCTTGTTTTAATCTGACAGGTTAAAACGACTAAACCGACTATTCCGGAAGCAGAAGCGGATGATTAAAACGCACCTGATATTTTGCTTGCTGCTGTCAGTGTCAGTGAATATTATTTTTGAAGTCACAGTTTATTGCTAAAGAATCAGTTAGCTCACTCGGACCAGTTGAAAGTTCCAAAATAACATCCACTCCAGGGATACAAATTCAGGATACGCAGAAGACTGCTGTTTTATTATAGGCGTTTGTCATATATTGTATTATCCGAGTTGCACAGTGTATAAACTGAAACATTGAGATCCAAGGTGCCGACGCAGAGTGAGCGATCTGATTCTTTAGCTGTAAACTGTGTCACAGGGTTCAAAATGGCCGCACCCTATGTTGGGCGTGTCGGACCTCTCTCTTGCCTCGTATAGTAATCAAAGTATGTGTATCTAGGTCATTCTATGTATTAAATGTTTTTTGAATATTCTTATTGGCCGTCTGAATTTATAAGCATGGCTATATCTAGACGGTTTTGAATTCCTCTCAAGACGGTTTTAAATTCCATTCAAGATGTTTTATTGTTTTTATACCTAGAAGTTTGTTTTGGTTTTGGTACAATCTGAAGACCGTGTTTTGATTCATCTCTAGAAGATCTAGACAGTTTCGTGTTTAAGTTAGAATACCAAATATCACGAGATCATTCACGTTGCAGAATTACTAATAAGGATCCCGAATCCCTTTGAATAAGTTGCCTCAGGAAATATCATGCGATGAAACATTCCTTATTTTACCTCCTTTTAACAAAAGATAAGTGCTATTGAATGCTATTGAGTGCTATTAAATTTGAATTTAGTAAAACTATGTGAATTAAAATTTGCTACTACTTTATCTAAAGCATGGTTAAAATATAATTTGTTAGTGGTTAGTGATTTTCTATATTTTTATCACTAAATTTAAGTCAAGTACAGCAAGCTTTAAATATAGTGGTGCTCAACTTCTTTTTCAAAGTCTCCATTTTAAAATTTACGATTATTACCCCCTCGAGGATTTCCACAGAATCAGTTGCTTCATAATTTTAATTGTGTAAATCTTCAAGATCGTCTAGTAATGCATTATATATAATTTTTGTTTAAACTCATGAACTACAAAATTAATTAAGCCGAACTTTTGTCGCAAATACGTTTACGGATACCTCGTATTACTTCGAGAGATCACCAAAATTTTTCTTTGCCCATATCGCGAACAAACATTTTATTACAATCATCACTTAGATGGATTACACTGTCCCAATTAGTCTGACATCGTCTTCCATGAAGACATTGGAAAGGCTATGCGAAAGGTACATAAGGGATGCGGTGATTACAACACCACTACACCCAAACCAACATGCATACACCCCAGGCAGATCTACTGATTCAACCCTTCATCTAGTTGCTGGCCGGATAGAAAGATTCCTGGACAATAAGGAGCCCACCTTGGGTGTTTTCAGACATAGAAGGTGCTTTTGATAAACCACATTCCCAAAGATAATACACTCACTAACCAACAGGAACGTTCCACAAATGGTTAGTGGGTGGATACTTAACATGCTCTCAAAGCGAGCAGTAAACATAAGTGTAGAAGATGTGAATATAAGAGGCCTGGTTGCGAGGGGATGTCCACAGGGAGGGGTGCTATCACCTCTACTGTGGAATATGGTCCTCGACACCCTCATCAACCGCCTCAATAATGATAGTCACTACACAATAGCACATGCAGACGACCTGGTCATTCTAAAAACAGGGAATTTTGAGAACATACTCTGCGAAAGAATGCAAGTAGCTCTGAAAATTATAGAACAGTGGTGCAAGGACCATTTACTTTTTATCAATCGCAAGAAGACAGAAATTGTCCTTTTCATAAGGAAAAGGATGAAAATAGAATTAAAACCTCCAAAAGTCCTAAACACAAAATTAAACTTTGCAACAGAGGTGAATTACCTAGGTCTCGCATTTAGAAAACATAGTCAAAAGAGCATACATTGCCTATGAACAATGCCGTCGAACCGTGGGGCGCACCTGGGGTCTCTCCCCCAGAGTCGTCGCATGAACTTAAACGGCTATCATAAGACCTATGTCAACATACGATGCAGTTATCTAGGTACCGAAAGCCCAAATATGCACAGCTATCCGTAAACTAGAACAAATTCAAAGAACAGCATGTCTCAACATAACAGGAGCCAGGAAAACAACACCAACCAGAGCCATGGAAGTCATTCTTAGTCTCACTCCCCTTGATATTTCAATCAAGGAGGTTGCTCTGACGACAATGATACGCCTCCGTACGGTTGGTGAGGCGAGACGTCGCTTGTGGCAGGAGGCGCTTGATACGCTCCCACTGCTTTAAGCGAACATGGACTCCATCTCACTAAGATATATCTTCCATAAGCCATATACAGTTATAATAGAACAAATAGAAAAGTCAGAAGTGGCAGGTACGATTCATATATACACCGACGGTTTTAAAACAAAACAAGGCTCAGGATGTGGAATATACTCCAGATTCTTAAACCTAAACATAAAATGGTCTGTGAGTAATGTCAGTGTAGCTCAAACAGAGCTAACGGGTATTCTCATAGCAGCAAAAGAAATAACCAGAAACAATATCACTGGAAGGAACATGCTCATCTATACAGATAGCAGACAAGCACTACTCACCCTGAACAGACCACGAATTTACTCAGGGTTAGTACTAGAACGTCACGAAGCTTTGGCCGAAATATCCATCAACAATGTGGTCACCTTAAGATGGATCATTGCCAAGTACAAAAACATCTCCATATCAAATGTAAACCAATTTTAATGCTCACTCTCAAAACATTGATATTTTCAATTATAGAGAATGTGATATAAAAAATTTGTTTTAGTACGAGTACGTCTTATCTTATTTTTATATTTAATGTTTCTAGTTCTAGTTTTACTTGGTTTTATTATTGTCCGAATTCGTTTTTTTTTTTGTAAATTGAATGTTTAGGTTTTGATGTATTTAATGTATGTATGACATTTTGTTTTATTTTTATTTTATTTTTGATAAGTATTCCACCTGTAATTGGTTTGTACCGTTGGTTGGTTAATAAATAAATAAATTAATGTTTTTGGTAAATAGGACGCCTAAGGACTACGCCGATCAACAGTCTCAGTATAATGTTCTATGATACTAAATTGCAACTTTTGGCGAAGGTTTATAGAAACGATGTATTTGGTGGAAAAGTCGAGAACCTTCCACTTTTTATAATAATATGGTGTGTTGTTGGAGAGTTCAGTTGTCTATTTAAATTAAAAGTGCTGATTTAGAAAATAACTATTTAAGATAAATTACTGTTAAGTTTTATACTCAGTTTTAAATAAATTATTGAATAATATGTAAGTGTACAAATAATTTATTAGTTATTTATACAATATTTTTTGTACGTTCATGAAAAAACAAAAAAAGGTTTTATAGAACTGCAGTTGTATTATCCAAATCATAGTAGCTGTGATCGTGTACCTTTGTTTGAGGCATTTACTTACGTTTGTGTTCATAATTTGTAATGACATTTTTAATATAATACATTTTTTTATTAATTTATTTATTAAATGATTGAAAATAATATAAATATGCAATTGTTTTTAAAACGTAACACAAAAAATGAAAATGGACTAAATATTTGGCATTGATTTGAATATTTATGTTTGTCATGATCATAAAACGTGTTATGGGTTAAAAGATTTTATATTTGGCATATAGGAATAAAAACAAAATTACTTCTCTTCTTAAAAATAATTTATTTTAAATCATAAATTGACATATTTTTAAAACCGAGTTGTAAATATGAGTAGTTAATGGTCAAATTTTAGTCTTCTTTTTCTTCCTGTTCTCATCAAGAACCACAGAACTTATTAATTAGATATCTAATTATTTTAAATTATCATATGGCCAACCTTATATATCAAATTACACTAGAATTAGCTGATAAACTCGGTATTAAGGAAAAAAAACTGACAGGTTTTTTTTCAAGCTTTCTTTTGAAAAGCACGTTTTCAGAGGAAGCTTGCTCTCGCATATTTGCGGATTTTTCACAAAGAAAAAGTTTATTTGGAAGATTATTTTGTTTAGGAAACATAAACAAGACTCTACTTTTGAGGATAGAAAAATCCATATAACTTTTTCGATTTAATTACCGCTTCTTTGGAAGCCACATTTGGCCCCATACCACCTCAGGTAGGTTTAAAATATAGTTTGGATATAAAATTAGTTAAAATAGTAATTCTTACATCATTTTACATAAAATAAATCATTATTTTAGGCCTTTTATTGTTAGTTTTTTTAACTAGCTCATTTACAACTTAAATAGGTATAGTATAACCGTGTCAAGGTATACCTCTGGCTACCTAGTAAACCTACTCATGTCAAGAGTCATAGGATAATAATTGGAAGTAAATTGTCTCTTGCTGTAGTATGGATGTTTAGCTGCAGAACCATCCTTGAATCCACTCTGTACTGTCAAATGGTGATGGAAATTGTGTACATATTGAATGGGAAAATACGGAGGATCCCTGGAAGTTACAGATAAGCCTTAGACATAAGTTTGAAAATTAAAACTCAAAGATATAATTTATTTAAAATAATCAATTGCCTTTTACACTTAATTTCATTAATTTTTCCGGTAATTTGCACTCACTTTGTAAAGCAAATCTTCTAGAAGTGCCGCTAAAAGCTCTGTATCTAAAGGGCTATTTTGTTTGTTTTAACCTAAAAAAAAAAGAATCACATTAGTAAAAATAATTATATGATATAGCAACAAAAGACTTACCTCAACCCCAAATCTTTGACATATAATCCACTTTAACTCATTTGTGTTAAATATAGAAAAGAAAAGTAATCATTGTTTATTATTGTACTACTCGAACCCAGAATCGTGAATTTTCTTTAAATATACGAAAGAAATTTATAACAAACGTTGTAGTAAAATGACAGATGACTGCAATAAAATTTTTATTGCACTAGTGCAATAAAGAACCAGTTTTTTCACTCAATATAGTTTAATAAAGTTTTGTTTTTTGCATGAACGTAAAAAAATAAATAAACGTTACAATACCTTTCGACTTAAACAAGGCATCCACACCAACGAAACTTTTATGTTTGTGTTACGATATTATATTTTTATTGTATATTATGTTGCTTCGGTAGACGCGCTTTTTTATTAGATATATCGTACATCCGTTGCAACAACGTCGTAAGTGCAATATCTAGTTTGTACAGGAGAACTATTTGCTCTTCATAAACTGAAAGATATTGCAAGTAAAATAATTTAATATTGGTTAATTTATTGTATAATTATATTTACGACATTGATACACCGCGTACACTAGCAGACTACGCATAGGAAGTGACAACAATGTCTAATTATTATTGCATTAATAACGTTTTTGTACCGTATATGTGCAAAACTGCGACAGTGTCAAAACAATGTAATTACCTTCTGTCTTCCATCAGCGCATACGTATCATGCTCCTTTGTCATTAAATATTCCAAAACAGCATGATGTCCTTCAGAAGCCGCGAACCAAATTGGCACTGCTCCAAGATTAGTTTCAGACTTCGGAGAAGCTCCAGACTCAACCAACAACTTTACTACTTCAAAGCAACCAGCTCTGGCAGCACAGTGTAACGGAGTCCAACCATTTTTATCTTGAGCGTTTATCTCGGCTCCTTGTCCTGTCACAAAAAATATTATGTAAATTAAATCAAATTTTTTCGTTACAAGATTGTTTTTACCTAACAGAACTTCAACCATTTGGTAATGACCATGTTGGGCGGCTATATGGAGCCCCGTCTTTCCATGTTTGTCATGGCTTTGCAGAAGTTCAGCTGATCTGCTTAAAAGCAAACCAACTACTGTTCCATGTCCTCCATAACAAGCTAGATGCATGGGGTTGTAACCCTTTCAACAGACATTTTACAAAATTGAATTCAAAAAACAGACAAAGGATTAGTGAAATTAATTTAGGACGTACTACGTTATGAAAAATTTATAATAAATTCATAAATTCATGTTATAAAGAGAATGTCAATAATGTGAAGCGAAGGAAGATCTTCATCAATGTTCTGTAAATGCAAAAGTTTCCACATTTAGGTTAGAAAAAACATATGGAAATATGATGACTGTGTGTAGCGGTGAGTGAGAATAGAGTTGGTCAGTATTTATGCTACAGATGTTGATAAATGAAATGAGACAAACTGATGAATATTCCCTTTTATGACCTCCAGCGGGAGATTCAAAGAGAAGGGTCTTTTACTTCTGGACAGTTGACACTAATCCATCATAATTACTTAAGTTGTATAAAATAAGAAAGAGAAAAAACATTATCTGCCCATTTCATTTATTTGTCTTGTTACAATAATTCTGCTAAAATGTTAAAGTAGAAAAATAATGTGGAGGCAAAGAGGATTATAATCAATCTAAGGTCCAGACTGGAAAGGAGCGGGATACAACATACAATATAGAAATATGACGGAGAAAGGTATGAACAATTAGAATAATTTTAAATTAATATAGATTTAAAACTTACATTTTCATGTGTAGACGCGTCAACTTGCACACCAGCAGAGTTAAGAAGCAACCTAACAACATTCTCATTTCCGGAAAAAGCCGCTAGATGTAGTGGCGTCATTCCAGATTCGTTACCTAAAGCTGGAACTAAAGAAGCACCGCTTGGAGCATCCGATTTAACGGTACCTGGCACGTGTGTTAACAACTCTCTTACAGTATCAGCTTGCCCAAAATAAGCCGCCACGTGCAAAGGAGTTACTCCGAGTTTTTTGCTGGTTATTCTAAGCGTGTTAGAGGAACGAAGGACTTCCAGAACTTGCTGATGGCCATACTGTGCTGCTAAATGAACAGCAGTAAAGCCTCCTTTATTTTCATCTGTTATATTAGCTCCAGCTCTAACTAAAGCTTTTACTACTTCAGCGTGGCCACCTTCTGCAGCCATTTGAAGCGGAGTAGCATCAGTTAGTTTGTTTCTAGCGGAAATTACTCCTTGTCTGTCGAATTTCATCAGTTCTTCAATAACAGTAACACTACCTTGCGCTGCAGCTATGTGAGCGCAAGTGTTTCCGTCTTTTGAAGTAGCCATTACAAGGCTAGGGTGTTGTTGTAGAAACAATTTGGCAACTTCTGAATAGTTATTTTGGCAAGCTGCGTGAATGGGCTTCTGCCCTTGTTCGTCTGTAGCGTCAATATCAGCTCCCAATTCTAGTAATAGCTTACAAACTTCTATTTGTCCAAATGCAGCTGCTAGATGCAGCGGGGTTTGTTTTTTTAGGGTTAAGATGTCTATTACGGCATTGTGGTCTTTGATTAGGAATTTAACGAGGTGGATGTAGCCATTCATAGCTGCCAGATGGAGCGCTGTTCTACCGTTACGTGATTTTGAATTGATGAAGGCTTTGTGCGTAAGGAGAGAGTCGCAGACTTGTAGGTAACCTTGTTCGGCTGCCAGGTGTAAGGCAGATCGGCCTTCTAGATCAAAAACGTCCACCCTTGCGTGATTGGCAAGCAAATTGTTCACCAAATCTATGTGTCCTAAAATAAAATGTGTTGGATTATTATAGTCAAGTAGAAGATAATAATAATACTGATTTACTTTGGTTTATATTTCGAGATCCCGCGAAAAAAATTGTACCTTTACAAAACAATTTTGTAAAAAAAATATGTGACCGGAAAAAATTAATAGCGTCTAAAACATTTGGGCCGAAACAATATTTAATTATTAAATTATTAATCAATTTCAATTTGCCGACACGCTCCACAAAACAACTTAACGATTTTTTTTATAAATTATACAGAAATATGACTACTTTTATAATTACTTGGTCTGCCCTAGCCAAGGTCAACCGGAAGTGTTTGTCACACCATCTTAAAGGGGTCAAACAAACGGTGTTTCATTATCCCTCATTTTTTAAGCTATTGCATAGTTTTTATCGCGGGCTTTGAGCGCGGCGACCGAATCAAGAAAAAAATCGGAACGTAACGAAAAAAAAAACCTAACACCCCCACTCCGACCGGCACAGCGATGCGGCGTTAAACAATATTAACTTCTCATTTATTCAATAAAAGAAAATCGAAAAATCGAAAAATCGAAAAATCGAAAAATCGAAAAATCGAAAAATCGAAAAATCGAAAAATCGAAAAATCGAAAAATCGAAAAATCGAAAAATCGAAAAATCGAAAAATCGAAAAATCGAAAAATCGAAAAATCGAAAAATCGAAAAATCGAAAAATCGAAAAATCGAAAAATCGAAAAATCGAAAAATCGAAAAATCGAAAAATCGAAAAATCGAAAAATCGAAAAATCGAAAAATCGAAAAATCGAAAAATCGAAAAATCGAAAAATCGAAAAATCGAAAAATCGAAAAATCGAAAAATCGAAAAATCGAAAAATTGAAAAATCGAAAAATCGAAAAATCGAAAAATTTGAAAAATCGAAAAATTTGAAAAATCAAAAAATCAAAAAATCGAAAAATCGAAAAATTGAAAAATCGAAAAATCGAAAAATCGAAAAATCGAAAAATCAAAAAATCGAAAAATCGAAAAATCGAAAAATCGAAAAATCGAAAAATCGAAAAATCGAAAAATCGAAAAATCGAAAAATCAAAAAATCGAAAATTCGAAAAATCGATAGCGTTGAAAGCCGTGCATCGTCTAACTTCGTTTCAGTTCGGCAGACTTCGGCAGACTTCGGCACGGTGTTTGTGTGCGTGCGACTAGACGTATGCGTGTAGACCAGGGATGGGGAAACTACGGCCCGCGGGCCATCTCCGGCCCGCGAAGCGTTGAAATCCGGCCCGTGACTGTCGTGAACATTAAACAAAAAATCAAGTGAATTTTTCATATTGTAGAAATTTCATATTTCATTCTTATTGACAGAGCGCGTCTCGCATAAAACAATCACGTGTATTATTTCACGAGCACGGGCGGTAAACGAAAACCGAAAATGAAGCTATCGACTGGGCGCGCGCGGTCCGACCGCCGCCGCAGTCAAAGTTTTGTCTTACTTCAAATCGCATGTTCGTACGCCGTATTTTCTTACTTACGAAACTACAACAATCAGCTAACAGACGGTGACATTTTTAAATCAGCAAGGTAAGATGTTATCACGTACTTTGTCATCACTTTTTGTGTCTTGAAATGATTTGATTATAAAATATGTTTGGGCGATGTATTGATGTTGGCTTTATTGTTTTGTTACAGCAGCAAAATGACGACCAAAAAACGAAAAGTCGATTCTGAGTGTCGAGTTTTTAAAGAAGAATGGTCATGGAAATATTTCTTCACAGAATTTAAAGACAAACCAGTTTGCCTCATTTGTAATGAAACAGTTGCAGTTTTTAAAGATTTTAATTTGTCTCGACACTTCTCAAAAAAACATGCAAGTGCAAAATATTTATCTATGACGGAAGCAGAGAAAAAGTCTTTTGTTGAAAGGCAAAAAGAGAAGAGAGAAGTTACGTGGACAGCAGAACATGTTCACAAAGCAATCTGTTACTCAGAAGGCTGCAACACTGGCAAGTTATGTTGTAGCTTACAAAATTGCTAAAAGTAACAGAACATTATCGGATGGTGAATTTGTAAAAGATTGCATGGTGGCTGTAAGCAACATTATTTGTCCAGAAAAAAGTAAAGAGTTTCAATCTTTAGCTTTATCACGGAGAACGATAACTGATCGAATTGACGCCATCGCTAAACAATTATCGTCACAGCTAGAAATGAATTGTAACAAATTTGAATACTTTTCTCTAACCATGGATGAGAGCACAGACATGAACGATACTGCCCAATTGCTGATTTTTATTAGAGCAATTGATTCAGAGTTCAACATAACCGAAGAATTAGCATGCTTACAATCCTTGAAAGGAAAAACAACTGGAAAAATTATTTACGATTCTTGTTTTGAGGGTATTTCAAAGTTTAACTTGCCTATGGATAAATTATGTAACATAACCACGGATGGAGCACCCAATATGGTGGGAAGCCATTTGGGGTTTATGGGTATATTTTGCAAAGAAAATCCTAATAATAATGTATTATTTCTGCATTGTTTAATACACCAGGATGTGTTGTGTAAAGCAGCTATTGACATACAACCCGTTTTGAGTGTGGTTGTTAAACTTATCAACACAATACGTTCACGGGGTTTGATGCATCGACAATTCCAAGAATTTCTAAAATCCACCGAAAGCGAGTTCTCTGATATCCTTTACCATACTAAAGTAAGATGGTTAAGCTGTGGTAATGCATTTGAGAGAGTGTGGAACTTAAGAAAGGAGATTCAAGACTTTCTGACGGAGCAAGGTAAATGGGACGACTTTAAGATCATGGCTGACGAAAATTGGCTTCCTGATTTCGCATTTTTCACAGATTTGCTGTCACACCTAAATAAATTAAATACGAAGCTTCAGGGAAAGAATCAATTCTTAGATGAGCTTTGGGGACATTTAAAAGCCTTCAAATTGCAGCTTAAATTGTTTTGCAGTTGTGTAGAGAAAAATGAACTTACCCATTTTTCCAAACTGAGCAGCATATCACCTGTCTCAGACGACAAGTTAAATAGGTTCGCTCAACAACTGAAGAAACTGCACGAGGAATTTGAGAAGCGATTTCAAGATTTTAAGAGAATTGAGCAGTCACTAAATATTTTTTCGATGCCTTTTAATGTTAACGTTGATGAAACACCCGCTAACCTCCAACTTGAACTAATTGAGATGCAATGCAATACCCATCTGAAGCAACTATTTCTCAACACCAACAAATTGGAATTTTATAAGTCCATATCTAGGACACAATACCCAAATATAGTTGCCCACGCTCAAAAAATAATGGCTATGTTTGGTACAAGCTATTTGTGCGAACAAACGTTTTCAATAATGAAACTAAGAAAAAATTGTCTTCGTAATAGGCTTTCGGATGACCACCTTTTTTCACTGTTAAAAATTTCAGCATCACAAATGGAGCCGGCTTATGATGACATCATGCAGAAACAAAAACAGTTCCACATGTCACATGTCCCTACAAAGACCAGCGCTCCTCATCCTTCTACTTCGCAGACAACTTAAAAGTTTAATTTAATTGCAATTTCTTTCTTGTATTAATATTTTGTAATTTTGCACAATAAATTAGTGTTTCAGAAAATACATATCATAATTTTTATTTCAATAAATAATATAGCCAAAAAATCAACAACTTGGCCCGCCATATATTTCGTTAGTAAATATTGGCACGCGGAGGAAAAAGTTTCCCCATCCCTGGTGTAGACTAGCTGCTAACTGCTCATAACTGATTCTATCTCTTTTAGACACAATTTCGAAAAAATTGAATTTGAAAATGAATAATGATCCACAAGAATCCACAAAAATATATGGGACCACCATTGACGCGGTATTTTCTAGATATTTAGAGGATATCAAGTCTCAAACTTGTTTCTTATTTAAAACAATAAAAGAAAAAAAAATGTTTTCTTATTGGTCACCACGCTCAAAGTGTGAATTAATATCAAAGAAAAAACTTGAATTAATATCAAAGAAAAAACTTGAATTAATATCAAAGAAAAAAAATACTGCATAAATAAAATAAATAAATAATTATAATTGCATAAGTTGATAAAAAATGCTATGCAATTGCTTTACCGCGGCAGTCCCCGAGTGCCACACGTAATTTTTTTTGTTTCATAAGATTAGACCTATGGAAAAAACTATTTAGGAAACTTGTTTAAATCTATATTTATAAAAAAATCAAATACATGTTGCGTCCTGAAAATTTGGAAAATTTTAAAGGTCGAGTTAAAAAATTCTCCTTACAAAAAAAATAATTATTACGAAAATCATATACTGTTTTTATTAGTATGATATCAAAAATTCTTAGTTGAAATTAATCCAAAAAAATGTAATTTAAGTTAGTACCTTTTCGAGCTGCAATTAATAGCGGCGTCCATCCATGATCATTTTGCCTGTTCAAAGCCTTCTGCGCATCTGTAGGCGACATATGCGATATCATTTCCATAACAACATCATTATTACCGGCCACAGCTACATAATGAAACACGGATTCATGTTTGCTGGTCATCAATTTTATATCGGCGCCGTTTTCCAGTAAAATTTTCGCAGTTTCTCTATCAGAATTTGGCACATCGACTTCATCTTTGGTCACGGTACACACGTAGTGGAGGGCGCTTTCGTCATTTTCGTTCACTTCGTTCACGTAGGACGAAGCTTTATCGTCACCTTTCTTGTCTTTTACAAAATTGATTAAGTGGCGAGCAACTTCTGTTTGGCAACCTCTTGCGGCTAGATGCAGAGGAGTTTCTCCTTTCTAAAACAAATCAAAACCATTTAAAATTTTTCTATCGAAAAGAACCAAATTTTGTTGTCTTGAATTTGGTTGATTTTGGTAAATTATGGTTATTTGAAATATGTAAACACAGCAGAAAATTTATATCGATGCATGCGTACTCTTCGGATTTCACCGTTTTATTATAATGGGTATTAATCAGGGGGGGATATCGCGCATGGTGTCATGGCGGCTCTGACGTCATGCGTAGAGTTAGTAGAGTTGGCACGAAATAAATATCATATGACAGACGCATGTTGCAGTAGTTTGGGAGTCGTTTATAGTAATTTATAAGGTATTAAACAGATATTTGTATTATATTATGTTGTAAACTTTGTTCTCTCTAAGTGCTTTTAGTGAAAAACTTTGAAAAATTTCGGTACGGATGTAACAGTAACAATTAAAGCAAGGGATTCAAGAAAAATATTATGGTTTTTCGCTTTCTTCGACAGTAAGAGCTCAGTCAGAAGTGAGGAGTGGCCCAAGGGCGGCTACAGCGGAGGCTTAGAGGAGCATGCCGTTACCTAGATTAAAATTCTTAAAATCCATGAGCCTTTTATATATGCTAAATAGGCAATTCTACCCTCCTTCCCAAGAAAATTCGACATGGAACAGCCCTTGCAGTGGCTCGTAACCCTGCAAATAAATTTTCATATGTATTCCAAGCACTTTCAACCTTCCAATTATAAGAGGAACCTCCAAACAGAACTTCACATTGGTTCAATCGCAACTTGGGACTTCTAAACTGGAGACTCTACCCTTTGAAGGCTAAAAATTTCGCAATATAAACAAAAGTGAAATTGTAAATGAGGCAAACAAAAGAAAATTTCGACTTGTACTTGATGAGTGAATTAAAAAAACTGTCAGCGACTTTGTCCAGGAAAATTGCAATGACATTTTATTTTAATTTTGTATATGCACCCACAATATGTTATGTAGCTGTTATTTGTATTTCGTACATTTTTTTATGCTTTGCATTATATTATATGAATGTCTGCATTATATTATATGAAAACACATATTTTTTAAATTTATTTTTATTCAATTGGGTAATTTAATGCAGGTAAATGAGTAATCAGATAAAAATTTCCGGCATATCCAGATGCAAAATTGTTACCAGGATCCCCAGTTTCAAGTTGCGAAGATACTCTTTTCATTATCCTGGTTATAAAAACTAGTCTTTAGAAGTCGAATTTGTATAACCATAATGAATCATTAAAAAAGAAAAAGGAAAAAAACTGTTCAAATAAATACTTCTCTTATGTATGTATTTGCATTTATGTTCCTTCATAGTTCTTTCCTTAACTATCCTATAATAATATCCATAGATATTTCATGTAATTTCTAAAATAGTATCCTTAATATTCATTAACTTTCTGTAAGTAGCATATATTTTCCTCACACTTCGTCAGTATTTTTAAATTCGCGCCTATACAAACTCTACGCGTGACGTTATGCGCGTGGCCGTCCTATTTTTGACACTTTTGATATCCTACCTTTTATTTTTTATACCATGGGTATTAATAATTACATACTAATTAATTAGTTAATGATTATATTGTAGCGTTTTAAAATAATTACTTTACATTAAACTTCTCTTATTCATACTTTTAAGGTAATTTTAATATAAGTTAGCCCTACTGCTTATGCAACATTCATTACTAAGATAAATTTTGATAAAAATCGAATCATCGTTGATCGAGGAACGTCAATATCTGACAAGTCAGGTAGAAGTCAAGACCTTTTTTTTTTTTTTGGGTTTTGGAAGATTAACGTCGGTTAGCGTAAATTACCAACTTGGGGTTTCCATTTTTGGTTAAACATCTTCGAGGATTAGCTGTAAACCAAATTCAACTTGGAAGCTGAGGAGACTTGGATAGCCGTGCTATCAGTTCTGATTCGTCCCTCATCCATGTCCTTGGTGCTATAGTCAACCCCGAGAAGCTGAGGAAACTTAAGTTGCTGCAAATTCAGATTCGTCCCTCGTCCCTGTCCTTGGCGCGATAGTCATCGGCCAACTTGAATCTCAAGAAGCGAGTCAAGCCGACAGCTAAGGCGATCCACGTGTCTGCGTCCATTTGTGGACTTGTACAGATAAGCCTCTAATACTTCTTTATTTGTTTAGTTATTTTTTTTTAGTCAGTCAATTCAGATGTTTTTAAATAGACATTTAAAGTAAATGCGTCTACCTACATAAAATAAATTTTAGTTGTAAGTGTCAATTGGCCAATCGAGACAAATTCCCTTGTATTAAGTAGGTAGGGATATAGTCAAGACTTTCATTTTCCTGTTATTTTATTTTTTTTTAAACTGTTGTTTAATAAATGTTAAATCATTGAGTTTTTATTTAGACTTTTTGCGTAAAGACCTATTCAAATATATATTTGTATAGAGGATACCTAGTTCATAGAATTCCTAGACTTCTCTGGATTTTAGGCCTGGAACTTCATAAACTATAGAATCCAGTGGCGCCCTATAACCAATTTTTCTAAATTTAATCCTATTTTAACTCATTTAATTATCTAACTTCGAACCTGCGACGCTCTCCGACGAACAGCTCCGGCATATGTAGTTTTAATGCTACAATATTGTATTAATTTTGTAGATGGCACCTTATATAAGAACGTCGAAATGTAAACTGTTTTTCTGAGAACATTGTGGCCGAAATTAAGCAAAACATTAATAATGGTCAATCTAAAAGATCTATTGCGAGAGAACATGGTATCAATGAATGCACTTTAAGAAAAAGGCTCAAAATTGGAACGATACCAATATCTTTAGGCAGGTTTAAACCAGTTTTCACAAAAGATATGGAGGATATTTTAAGAGATCACCTAACAAAAATTTTGGTTTATCATAATATGAAGATTTGCAAGCCCTGACATACCAGTATGCTGAAATGAATAATGTGAAACATCCATATAACAAACAAAAATGGCTGGAAGAAATGGGTCATGTTGTTTTGCAACAAACATAAATTAACTATAAGACAACCAGAAAAAGTTAGTTTGGCACGGACAATCGGATTTAATAAGAACCAGGTATCCCGTTTTTTTGATAACCTAAAAGAAGTTATTATAAAATATTCCTTTACCGGTAAATGAATATATAATATGGATGAAACTGGTGTTCTAACTGTACCAAATAAACTGCCAAAAGAAATAAGTACCAAAAGAAAAAAAACTGTGGGTAAAGTGGTATCAGAAGAAAGAGGACAGCATATGCCAGTGCAAGTGGAGTTTTTATTCCACCAAAAAGAAAGAACACGGAGCTCCGGTAGATACACTTCAAATGGTGTAGGATAGTGGATTTATTAATATCGATTTATTTTATAAATGTCTTCAACATTTTAAAAACCATGCAAAACCGTCATTAGAAAATCTGCTTTTATTATTTCTAGATAATCATACATCTCACATAAGCTTAACTGTTATAATGTTCTAAAGACAAAATGGAATACTTTTTTAAAGTATTCCACCTCACAGCAGCCACAGACTGCAGCCTTTAGGTGTTGGTTTCTTTGGCCCTCTGAAATCAGCTTATGGACAGGAAGCCGATAAATTTATGGTATCAAATCCAGGAAAAACCACTACCCAATATGAGGTTGCTTTCATATTTGGAAAAGCGTACTCTCGTGTAGGGTGTGTTGAAAAAGCCTCAAAAAGCTTTTCAGTAACAGGCATTTGGCCTTTCGATTCAGATAGCTTTAGAGATGTAGATTTTACCCCTTCCTCTGTTACAGATAAGATAATGTCACCTGACAATAATATTAAAATAATAATCGATGGTAGTCTTCATTATAGTTTATAAAGCATTTGTCCCAATTTCCTTATGTGTGTAGATAACCTTTTAAAGGAGGTTAATGCATCTCTAGAATTTTTCATTGAAGTTATTCCTTCAAAATTTAGTCACTCATCACCCCAACCAGGAACAAGCAAAGAGTCCGATTATGTAATATATTCAGATGAAAACAAAGAGAATAATGATTTTTTAATAAATAATTGTTAGTATTTTTTAATGTTTGTAGAATCTACAAACGCGAAACTCGTAATTGAAAAATTATGCTCATTACCAAAGGTAGAGCCAATACCCAAAAGAAAAGAGGACCGGAAAACAGTCAGAAATGCTTACAAGTCCTTCTTTCAAAGACTTTTTACTCGAAGCTAAAAAAAAAAAACAAAGATTAAATAAATAAGAATAATAAGATTGATGATAACGCAAAAATGTAAAGAAAAAGAAAATAAATACAAATCAGCTGCAAAAACCCTAACTAGCTACTCAGGCTTCTGGAACTTATTCGGACTCTCCAGATATTGACTTAATTCAATGCTGCAAGTACAAACACTGATTTCACGAAATTTGCACTCTCTACGATGGTTCCAATTTCCAATAAGTTTATTTGTGACATATGTTCTTAATAGTACGTCTTGCGTACTCTTAGCTAAAGTGCGTACTCTTATTTGATATACATGAGTACTCTTAAGACCAGTGTTTACTAAGATTACGCATATGTATTGCCTTTTTTTATTTTTTTTTTGGTTTAATTATAATCTCAAAAATAATTCCTGTTAGTTTTATACAAATAAAAGTCTGTTCTATCAATATTTAATAGTTTTTTCTAAATTAAAACCAAGATTAATTGCTAGCTTACATTTAATAGTTAAGTGCGTACTCTTTGGTGACTCTACTTTAAAGGTTTGTAATTACTTTTCCCTTCGTACTGCAATTATAGGTTCGTTTATTTTTTTGATTCAATTTCCATTTTGCTACAGATAATTTATAAAATTTACACTGTTTTATTGCTAGTGTTTTTTTAATAAGTTAAATACATAGGTTTATCTGATACGCCAAAATTAGAAAATATCGCCCAAAAATGCACGAATTATCCGCAGCTAGAGCTAATATTGCTTTTGCTTCCCCTACCATGACGAAACAAAATATTCATTGGAAAAATAGTGACAAGGGTAGAAGAAAAATTATTTTTTAACGATTTTCCCATTTAGTGTGAAAACACATACATTTGTTTTGAATAAGACCACACATTATACAGCACTCCAAAATATTTTTCAGAATTGCTTTTAAAATTCTTCCTTATGGAAGGTATAAATAAATATTGGTTACGTGAATAATTACTGGACATTTAGAAAAAGCTTCAATTCAATTCGTAAAATTTTCGCATATTTGATATGAGCATTTCCAAGCATTTTTTTATAAAATACCCACGAGCATAACTTATTCCGTTTATTTCCGGAAATCAAAACAAAAGGTTTATCTGATCTCCTTCTTTATTCATATAGCCAACAGTATTACAACTTTGTTCACAAGAGTTCATTACTATTATTTTGTATTTACTCCATCCTATACTTCGATAATAATTTGGCACGAATTTAAGGGCCTCCGTATATCTTAACAACAAGATAGCGTCGAGTTATTTTATTTATCGTTAACCTCTCTACAGGGATGTTACCTTGTTCTTGTATTGTGGATCGCCGCCATCTTCAAGCAGAAGTAGCAGAGTTTCCAAGTTGCCATATTTTGCTGCAACGTGCACAGGTGTTTGTCCATCATGAGTTGCTAGATTTGGTCCAGCTCCAGATTTAAGCAGCATAAGGGCACATTTTTCTCCATCTTTTACACGAGCTGCTATGTGGAGAGCCGTTTCTTTTAATTTGCCTCCTAAAACAGATATGTTTTTAATAAAGAGCTCATTTATGAAAAATGTTAATATTATGACAGGAAATTGTACCAGAAGAGTCGAAGATACTTTATTTATTAGATATAAAATGAGTAAATGGATTTTCTCTAGGAGTAATGATTTTAAAACCAATTGAGATTTGAATCAAAATTGGATTAATAAAAAAAGGAGTAATTATTTGAATTGACCAGCCGTCAATATTCTTCCTATTTAATGGAGTACAGCCGCAAAATTGTATGAATAAAAATTGGAGTTGGAATTGAATCAAATTAATTACTAGATCACACACGCTTTTGTGGTTTAGTGTTTAGGTTGCTGGTACGATATACCAAAGGTCGTGGTTTCGAGTTCCAGAGGAAATGCTTTTTTCAATAGGAGTAAGAAGGCTAGCCATATCTCAAGTGTGTTTATCCTATATAGGAAGAGAAAACTCAACATCTTAACTGTAGTGTATTTTTATTAAATTATAGAAATACGCTACATTGTTCTTCTCGAGAGACACCTGTAAAGTTAGTTTTAGGCAGACCTTTAAGAAACAGGTTGGATTTAATTCAACTAACCAAAAAAATTTTGAGGTTAGTAGTAGAAGTGAGGTTAGAAAGAATCTCACTTTAGCTAACCAAACAAATACTACCAGAAATTACAGAGGGTCAGGGGAGAATATTTTTCATATTGGTCAGATTGTGTTCATCAGAGGTTATAGGGGTGCCAAGAAGCCGTCTTGGTGTAAAGCTGTAATTAAAAGTTTTGTGGTTAAGAAGATATGTTTAGCTAGAGTACGCAACAGTAATTTTCTTTGGAAAAGGCGTTATCCGATATTGTTATGGCAATGATTTTGAACTTGACAAAAGATATTGTTCTAAAGAAAAAGATTGTCAACCTTATCTAGCAGCTAGCTCTGTACCAACACAATCTGAAATAATAAAGGGTCACGATACTAATCGATACTAACTGGTGTTAGACCTCAAAGAATTAGAAAACTACCTGAATGATGGGGGTATTGATACTCTTATAAGGGAGAAGTGTGTAGTGTATTATTAATCAAGTTACTAGAGTTTTTCTTTTTATATCTTGAGTGTACAATATTATGTATGTAATGTCATTCTGATATTGTCATATTAAATATAAATCATACGAATCGAATATTATTTAGTTGGTTAAACACCATATTAACCACAAAAATTTAATAAAAACAGGAGGTAAATCAACGAGTTTTAGTTTAGGACCATCATCAGGCGTACAAAAAATAAAAGGTGTGTACAATATAAATTAAAACTTCATTTTTGCTGTAGTGACAGGATAATAAGGGTAGCAACATTATTCAAATATCAAATGTTGACTTGATGGGTGTGTATATAAACTTTTAATATGATTTAAAGTAGGCTTCGTTAAACAGAAGAAAATTATTGAATGGTTTATTTTGAGTTATATCTAAAACAGTTTATGGAGATTTGTATCTAAACGGTTTATATCAAGAAGTTTATGGAGATTTTTACCTAAGAGTTTGGTGCCATCTGAAGACCGAGGTTTGGTTCACCTATAGAAGATCGACACAATATTGTTCAAGTCCAGAATTAAGAATAAGGATTCCGAATCCCTTAGAAGAAGGCCTAGAATTCCTTACATCACACTCCTAATATAACTACCTCCTGTTACAACAGATAAGTTTTTCTTTAAATAAATCATCTAAATTTGAATTAAGTAAATCTCTGTAAATTAGAATCTGTTACTACCTAATCGAAAACTTGGTTTAAATATAATTTGTTAATGGTTAGTGATTTTCTTTATTTTTATCACTAATCTAAAGTCAAGTATAGTAAGTTTTAAATATAGTGGTGCCCAACTTCTTTTTCAAGGTAATTCGAGTTATTTAATAACCTGACCCACTCCCAAAATCAATTGAGCTTAAAACACTATAGCAAATAGATAAAATATAAAGTATCACGTTACATGTCGACCGAAACAAGTCACTTTTTATAAAATTGCTATTGTTAAGACTTGGGAATTTTTTTCTTTCTTGATTTTTTAAATGTTTTATTTTCACCCCTCAAGTCAGCATAAAACGTTTCCAAGTTCATAGAAATATAATAACATTACTATGCAATGTAATAGTAACATTCGCTAGAAGTTTTTGAGGGAAAAAGAAATACGGAAAACTTATTTGTTGTTTACCTATTCAACCTAACTGTTATGTTAATTAAACCTAACGAAGTTACTTGTTGTAAAATGTACTCTTCTGTGCAAAAGAGAAGTCGATAGAAGTACACATAAATAACTGAGAGAGAATGCTGCTAAGCTTCTCGCCTTCGCTGTTATGAGAAATGATAGCTAAACAATTTTAGAAAATAATCGAGTCACGGAAGGCTGTATTACTTTATTTCAGAAATGAAAGGAAACTTTTAAAAAAGTTGGAAGTCATTATTTGTTTTTTTTTTCATTTTTCCATTTACCTATTTTTCTAAATTTCGCCGTAGATTCTATAAAAATAGTTCAGTAACTGAAGACCTGAAAATATGCAAAGCTGTCATTAAGTCGGTCCAGATTTCCTTTGTGGCTCAATTCTTAGGTCTTGACGATTGTTTTCAAGGGCGAAAACTTTTACCAACTCTGCTGCGTCGGAAAGGGCCCAAAATGGACCCTAAACCTGGTTTTCCGCCAATATTTTCCACAATATGCAAATAATAGAATTTTTGTTTAGGTAAAAAAGAAAGATCTTTTCATTATCTACAAAAATGGTCTCTATCATTTTTGTCGGGAATTCGACAGGTTTCGAGATAACCGCAATCGAAAGTCCCCTCGTTCAGTCCCTGCTTTATCTCTATAGCAATGCTGATTAGCTTGTAAACAAGTGGACAAATTGTTTCAGAACTCGGTCAAAAATTAATATTTTTCGATGATTCAACGTTAATTACAATGGGAAAACCCATAGGTATCGATCCATGTGCCTTGAAGCCCGTTATTTCCTGTCAAGAACATTGAAAAAGGGGTCAAAGTTGCGTTTTCTCACTATTTTGGACCACTTTATAGTAATTCATTCATATTTTTTTCTTTTAATAGTTTTTTATCCCATTTTTGTTTTAAATGTGATCTTGAGATGTCTCGAATGATCTCAGACATTTTTTCCAGTATCTTCCTGGCGTTTTAAAACAAATTTGATTTGTTTTTTGCATTTTTCATACGTTTTCGGAGTTCTAGAAATCTTTGAAACAAGCAGTACCTACTTAAAAACTCATATTTCATTATATTGTTATTCATTGGACACCATTTTAAAGCTTAGAGTGTCTACTTTTCGAAAGTATTTTTTTAAAAGCGGGAAACCAGTTTTAGGGTCCATTTTGGGCCCTTTCCGACGCAGCAGAGTTGGTAAAAGTTTTCGACCTTGAAAGCGACTGCCGAGACCTAAGAGTTGAGCCACAACGGAAATCTGGACCGACTTAATGACAGGTTGGTCCCTTCAGTTACTGAACTAAAATAAAATAATATTAATGAGGTTCAAATATAATAGTAGGGCCTAAGGGAGCCTACGCGGGGATTTTGGGATTTACTCAAGCGTGGCAAAATAACATAAGGTGGGAAAACTTGCTTCCTGTTAAGTACACCCACCATACATGAAACCTTTATATAGGTGTCATGCATTTAGGACAGCCGACGGAGACTGGGAGAGCTTTCGCAAGAGGCCAACTCACAGAATTTGCACATACACGATAAATAAACGGACGACGAAACAGGGAAATGCTCTCAGCAAACCCTGTCTAAATGACGATAATATGTCTTACTTCACATCCCTTTAAAAATGAGTGGCATACTAATAAAATTATTTGATTTTGAGCTGTAGCGAAAATACCAGAAGGGGTATGGTAGGGTCAGGCACGTTTTGATCCAGTAAAACAGGATGGGAACCTTCCAGACTTGGGCTCAAATACTGTGTGTGTGGGCAGCCGATCATAGTAAAAAAAGAGATCATTAGAAAAACTCGAGCGCGTCAGATTAAGGCAAGGTGAGTTAATTATATGCAGAAAAGTGTGCGATTCAATAAGTGTGCCATAAGGAAATAGTAGAGTTACAAAGTTGCAGAAATAAACCTAACCTGGACGTTCTCCAGCGCGGTTAATTTTTTTTATTTTAAAGGAAATCATCCAGAAATCATGGGAATAATATAATCTGCCGATTTCTACAAGCCGAAGTAGTTAAAATCATCGATAAAATGGTGCGTTCAGCTGCTGAGAACTATGTCTTTCGAACTCCGCGCCTGTCTTCCCTTCTCACCCTTTCTCTATGTCTTACTCTCTCGCACTGTCTCCATACTCAAGGATACTTAACTTTTCTATTAGGATTGGCCAATCCCATATAGTATTTATGTGTACGTCATTGCCGGACCAGATATTTATAAATTCCTGTGTTGTTTATACGTTTGTACATAGGGTTTTAGTATTTTTTAATTGACGAAATTTTTAAAATATTTTTAAAAAGGGTATTTTGGTAAATCATCTTAGTTTTATTATAGGTAAGTTCTACAGTGACAAAAATAATTGTTTTTAACTAATATTCTTATTTTTTTAAGGTTCAAAAGTGCCAGACAGACAGTGGTTAGTAATTGTAACAGCAGCTGTGTGAAAATAAAATTAGATATCGCAGATATAATTTATCATGATTTTCCATTGGGGAAACATTTGTTTCACACGAAATGAAAAAAGAGTGGATTCGGAGATGCCGTAGAGCCGTTAAATAGAATCCCAGAACAAGTCAGATTTGTTATGTCCATTTTGTCTGCAATGATTATGAAAGAGATCTTCACAATGAATTATTGAGCAATTGGGTTTGGCAGTGAAGATGCGAGGATGCGATTTAAGAAAACTGCAGTCCTTACTTTAATTCTTGGGAATAATGAAAGTGAAGATAAAACTTTAAAAAAGACGTAACGGGAAAGTCAAATCTTAAAAAGAGAACAGAAAAATAGGGCGGATGATTGTTTAATAAGAATTTACTAAAATTTCCACACATTTAGAGGATAATGAAAGCAGCACAATTAAAAGCGAAAACAATGTCGTTGTAGTAAAGCAATTAAATTTTTATATAAATTTTTATCGTAGACTATTGAAACAAAACAAAGAACTAAAGGCTAAGAAAAATGTTTTTACTAAAAACCAAATGGACTTATAATAAAAAAAAAAAAATACGAAAAAGAAACGTGTTGACTTGACATTTGAAGAAGCTGCAGATATTATATTTTCCACTTCCTGGTTTGTCTTCTCTAAGACGATGGGCTAATAAATTAAGTTCTACAAATTGAATTTTAGTGTATTAAAATGTATGCAGTTGGACGGAGAATCAATAATGAGCAATCTGTATTATGTGTACTATTTATGTACTATCTTGTACTAATTGTGTAGGATTGCATTCAGTAATTAAAAAAAATAAATAAAATTGAAAAAATTTGTTTCAAACCTTCAGATTAAGGAAATCCATTCACATAATCGTCAAATTATAGGTCAACACAACAAGGATAACAAGCTGAACCGTCTGTATATTAATCTGACGTGATTGAGTATTTTAGTCACGATTTTTTTGCATTTTCAAAAATTGGCCATGAGATTTGGTGGCGTCCAAATCGTCAGTCTTTAGGATTTACTTTCTGAATATCTGATGCGCTCAAATAAATTTATTTTTTCCTATTTTTAACCTCTTTTTACGGCCACCCCACCCCATGCCAGCCGGCAGATTAATATTCCTCCGTTATCCGAAGCACGTAGGGCGCATCGCTATTAATATCTGAAGCGCCTAAGTATATCTTTGTGACTATTTTTTTACATTTCTGAAAATCTGTGTACGCTTCCTCCACCAGTGAAAGGGCATACATCATATAAACTTTTTCTCTCTCTAGCATCTAATTTTCACAATTCAAAAGGTCTCCACGACGCTCGAGTAAATCTTAATTTAGCCTCTTGGGCTCCCCTACTATAAAGTACTTCTAAAATTAATAGTTTAGTTATCAGAATCTCTTATTTCTCGATCGACCTTCAGATGGAAACCGACTCGTGCTCGAGGTGACGGAACGCCTACCGCCGAGGCACTAGAAACTGCTGGAACGGCGGAGAGTGCCGTTTAGTTAGTCATAGAAATGGAATGTTCGAGACAACCGTCTGGAGACTTCTAGTAGGAGTTGGACTTAATATAAATATCCGACTCATCGCAGACAGTTAGTTGAATATAGAATATTGTAATGAAAAGTTAAAGTGTAAGAAATACATTAGAATTGTTTGTTAGTGTCTAAGTATTATATAAATTAAATAGTACGTCTGAAATAAATTGTAAATAGTGTGTTTTTAAATAAATAAACTAAAAATAAATTAGACTATCGTCACAATAATATATAGCTATTGTGTTCTCTTTTACTCCGTTACGTTTGGATGTATACTCTGAATATTTTGTTTCCATACTGTATACTTAGTTTTTACCTCAATTACATTTTTAGTGTACCTTCCTACAATTAAACAATTCATCACTATCATCTACTATTTCACAGTACTACATTACAATGGACTCCTAGACGTCCTGATCTGAATCAGTCAATTATTACAGTGCTTTTTGAAAGAAAAAGATGTCGAAAAATTGACGAGTTTCTTTAGTTCTTTCAGCGTTTTAAATTCCAAAAGTACGGGCATTAATTTTGAGTCAAAAAAAATTTTTACCGTAGTATATAGCTAACGAGAATTTTTTTTTAAAGAAACTGTTAAAGTCGTTAGCTATTTTTAGTTGTATAAATAAATTTGAAATTTTTACCTCTGACATGTACGTCAGCTCCGTAGCCCAATAAGGTTTCGACGACTGCAGGTTTGCAGGACTCGACGGCAATATGCAAAGCAGTGTAATTATCCTAAAAATAAAAGAAAAGCATCGATTTCTCTCGTTACGACATCGTGATAAACTTACATTCGTCGTTACGTCGACTTTTTCTCCTTTCTGCAGCAAGGTATTGATTATTCCAACATGGCCGTATCTTGCAGCAGTGTGTATACTCCTAGCACCATCCTAAAAATTTAGATTATTAAAGACCATTATTTGTAAATCATTGCTTAAATTATACAGGGTGTGTTATATGTTTTTTAAATGGACATCTATTATTATCTTCTCTTAAAAAAGTCAAATTGTCTGTTCTTGCGAATTTAGATGACTTTATTATAGTAGTACACGGAAACTTATTAAAGTGCTAAAACAACAAAAAAGCATCTTCCATAGATTTATTAATGAACAGAAATATCAATACCTATCATATCAATACCTGATATTGCAGAAGGTTAATAATAAGAAGAAAAATAAAAACTAAAAAAGGAAACAACGTTTAATGAGATTAGAGAGTTAAAGCAATGCCAGCAGCATATACGTACGCGTATCTAATGACAGCTACGCATGCGCAACAGCTATTTTTCCCACGTATACGTCTGATGTAAACGTACGTGTTCTTACGTATGACTCGTACGTGTTCTTACGTATGCCTATAGTTTACTTGAAAATGAATGATAGCAAAATTATATAAAAATATAGACCTTTGCCATAAAAACTGTGCTTTCATTTATTTTCAAATAAACTATAAACGCATTGGTATCGGCCGAGCAAATATTTCGGGGGCATTCGATCGCACCCGGTTAATAAAACTAATGACAGATTGTTACTATAATAATGTTATGTGCTTTTTAAATTCTAAACCATAATATGAAAAAAGAATCACTTATAATTTATATACGCACAAAAATTATTTCAGAGAACAATTGCTAGAATCATTTGTTGTAATCATATTTGGCATGCCAAACAGGTAAATGAAATTATCATCATCGTCATTAAAAGCCTCTAAAATTAAAATTTTCTTCATAACTATCAAAACTTTTCTCGAAGTTATAAAGGATACGTTTACGTGAATGTTTTTATTTTATTAATCGTTTTATTTCAGGTTACACGTTTAACGTAGCGTCAATTTTTACGTTTACATCAGAGAGGTACGTATACGTTTGTAGCGTTCCTTTAACTCTCTAATATTAAATAAAAGATGTGTTGAAATTTCAAATTTACACTATACAGTAAGTACTGCGGGTGAAGGCGTGGATACAAGGATGGTTAATGGGACAACCCGGCCTGTGCGAAGAAAACTTTACTTCGAGATTTTATGAGAAAGCAAAAAACAAGATGGCGGCGTCGTCAATTATTTCTCTCCCCGAAAAATCTTCCCAGATCCACACCTGTGCGCATGAGACATATATGATTTAACAAAAGATATGGCAAATATCAAAGACATTAAAACTAATGTTTTTGGATAAATATACAGAAACATGAAGATATATTCAGGAGGAGTAAGTATTTGGAGTTTGGGAATGGAGTTATAAAAAAATCACATTATATATGGTTTTTTTTATTAAAGAACCCCGCACAAATCTTATAAAAATTGGCTCCCGGTCAAATTGGCTGAAATTTGGATATATGTTATTCGTTTCGGAATCCTGAGCAAAATTCTCAATGGACACAAAGCTCAATTTTGCTTATTTTGGCTCCTACGGAGCTCCAAAGCTCCACGGATTGACCATTATTTACTACTTAACAAGTGTAAATTAAAAATTTAAAAACGTGCAGATGCCATCACCACATCTTAACCAAATTTATATGGGATCACCCCTGAGGTACCCCCTTACTAACAAAAAAAGAATCATATAAATCGGACAAGGTGGTAAAGCATTATCGCTAAACATACATCAAAAATGAAGAGTTTGAGGATTTTCTCATAAACCCAATTATTAGATTTTGACTAAATTTATATGGGACCACCCCTGATGTACCCCCTTTCTAACAAAAAAAGAATCATTGAAATCGGACACCGTGTTAAAGAATAATCGCTGAACATACATAAAAAAAAAAAATATCGCGACGAATTGATAACCTCCTCCTTTTTTTGAAGTCGGTTAAAAAGGCAATTACCTCGAAAGTTTAGTATTTGCTGCGTTAAAAAAGAAGTACCTTCTTATGTTTTTAATACCCAGACAACTGTACCGTATGATAGCATAGGTCTTAATGGCTGTGCAAGTGCAGGCGACGACTCTGGGGCAGAAACCACAGGTGCTCCAGACGGTTCGGCGGAATTATTTATAAGCTATGTATGCTCTTTTGAGCGTGAGTTCCATGTTAACGTACTGTCAGAGGTAAGACCTAGGTACTTCACTTCTGTTGCAAAGTGTAGCTTTGTGTTTAGGAGTTCTGGAGCTTTTAATGCCATTTTCATCCTTTTTCCTTGTGAAATGGAGCATTTCTGTCTTCTTGGGATTGAAAGATAGTGAATGGTCCTTGCATCACTGTTCTATAATTTTGAGAGCTAATTACACTCTTTCGCAGATTATATTCTCAAAATTCTTTGTTTGTAGAATGACCAGGTCATCTCCATATACGCTATTGTGTAGTGACTGTCATTTTTTTACCCTAGCTAACCGTTAAGGTACAATTTTGGAACGCGAGACAGATGCAAGCGATAGCGACAGGCTACAAACACTGCCGCGTTAAACGTGTCTCTTGCCTCAATCTCGCGTGTCTAAATGGTACCTTTAGGAAATAGATATGCAGATACAGATTTTCATATTACAAGCGACTGTGGATTTTTGATCTTACTACATAAATAATTTATTCTTGACGCCGTTGCTCCATCTTGCATTAAAAATCGGACTCGCCAAGTTCTCATAATTTGTATATTTTCGTGTTTCTTATTAGCTCAATTGAACGTTCGTCGATCTGTATTTGTTCTCATCGCACTTCTTATCCTGTTTTATTTAATCCACGTTGACTGTGACATTCAGTTTGAGTATTGTGAGGTTGAATGTTTTTATTTCGTATTTACTTAATTTCCACACCTACTCGTTTCTGTGGTACACGTTGTTATTAAGAAAGTTAATAGAAATATTAAACTTATTCCTCCTAAAATATCTTTATTAACAAGGTAAGGGTGAAAAGGAATTTTATCAATATCTCTTTTTGTTCCAATAGAATTTCTTGATCCTGTTTGATGTAGGAATAATAAGTGAAGAATTATAAAAGCTAGAATAATAAATGGTAAAATAAAATGAAATGTAAAAAATCATTTAAGTAATACCAACTAAAATTAGAAAATAATGGATCTAATTACGGATACGCATTTTGACAAAAATTTCACAATCCTTCATTAGAAAGGTAATTACCTAAACGAGAAATGTCTTCCAAGAAAAAACGGAATAGAAAGTCTCTGGTCAGTCAAAATCACTGCATGGTGGAGAATATTATTATAATAAAATTTGGTCATCTTTGCATATGATTAAAAATTAAATCAAGTTGGTTCCAGGTTTCTCATATCAATCCATTAATACGAGTATTACTAAAAAAGTTGCTTTATTCTTTAAGTTTTTGATATCGTACAGAATAGATGAAGCTCGTCGGCAAAATGTATTCATAGTATATCTTGATGAGAGTTAGTAAGACACTCATGTGAAAAAAGGATGGAGTAGTCAATCTTCTAAATGTTCTGAGAAAGCAAATAATGAAAATGGACTTGTGCCGCCGCATTGTTTGGCAAGTAATATTTCGAGTTTAGCTCATTATCATAAGATCTACTTTGTTAGAAAAATGGTTTGATGAATAACTGATTCCTAGCTTACCACCAAATGCCTTTTGATATTCTCGTCAAACTGAAGAAATTTCAGAAGCGACAGCTCAAAATAGTATATTATGCAACGAGTACGAAATGAAGCATATTTTGCACGAGTATGAAAGTTTGAAACACGAGCCGTAGGCGAGTGTTGCAAATCATACGAGTGCAAATAGCTATTTCGTGCGAGTTGCATACTATACTTTTTCTACGACTGCTTTCTATTACATAAACAAACACAAATCGAATAAAAGATTTATTTTATTAACTGGAATAGATTACACTGCAAATAACAAATTGTCGATAAATAAACTCGATTGAAACTGAAAAACTGGTCAAGCCATACCTCAACCTATTTATAAAAATTAAACGTACAATTATTAAAAACCATTTTTGGGGAGGTAGTAGTGATATTATGTTTAATATTTACATTTTCTTGAATTTGGCAATTTTCTGCAGTTGTAGTAGATGTGTTTCCCGTTTCTGAAGTTATATTTTTTATCTTATTAGAAATTATGTTGGCTATATCAATCTTATTTGTTAGGGATTCATCTATATAGCTTTCAGCAACAGCTGTAGACTTCCAGCCGCCATGACGCTTTAACGTGGTTATGTCACCACCAGCATCAACTAAAATTGTTGCCGAAGAACGGCGGAAGCAGTGACCTGTATATAACTCAGGATTTGGTAATTTCAAATACTTGGCAATATCTTTTCCCATTGCCCCAATTTTATTTAACCCTATTCTTTGAATGGTGCATTTACCTTTTTGGTAATTTATAAAAAACCAGGGATCATTAACATGAGGAGGGCGAACGTCGGCATATTTTTTAAAAATTTTATAATATTGACCAATTATAGTGAACTTTCGAACAATTTTGGTTTTAGTGTCTGGTACCGTCACCAAAACTGCTTCATTCAAATCATTAAAATTTGAAATTTTCATCTGATGTAATTCATGTTGTCTGCATGCACCCATTACACCCATAATTAACGCAACCTACAATAAAAATTCACAAATTGAAAATACTTTGCATTACACAAATATAAAAAATAACGTATTTTAAATATAAATAACCTACTTTTGTTACTAAATATATCTCATCGGGAGCTTCTTTTATAAATTTTTCGATTTCATTTGACGTAAGTCTTCGAATTTTTCGGTTTGTATCCGTCTGACTGCCGCTTGAGAAATGCTTTCAATTTTAAATATTTGCTAACATCTATATTATTATTAATAATCCTGATAGTCGTTCTTAACATCGAATATTGTGTCCAAAGCGTAGAACTTTTTATTTTTTTCGCCAATTAGGCAAAATAAGCCACTAAAACGTTCTCTGAAAATGAGTTTGCGTTCTCACCTGTTTTCCAATACATGAAGAGGGCATAAGATCGTTGATATAATTTTTTTGATGTTGGTGGCAACACATTTAAAGTTGTTACTTTTGCAGCTTCCTTTATGTTTGGAGGTGTTAATTCTATATCACTATCACTGTCCATTTTATTAATTTATTTCATAAAAAAAGATAATTATCGTAAGTTCTGTCAATATTAATTATACTGACAGTAACGTCAAAATGATATTATAGCCGCCTTAGTTTTTGATCTACTAAATTAAAATTTCATTTCGCACGCGTTGCTGGGCAACCCGTGCAATATGAAATGTTGTGTAAAATGTGTATGATATAAGTTCCAATAGCCGAATCAAAATGATGATTTATCATTGCAGCCGTAGAAAAAGTAATTTTAGCGTTTTTAAAAATCTCCAAAAGCATTTCCAGCACAGTCTTGTATTATAAACATGAATGACACGTCTAGTAAAGATGATAGTTTGGATGCTACGTGGTATTGTTAATTTTTCCTTCTATGGGAAGGCAACCTTGACGTGGTGAGAGGACTTGCGTGCTTTATTCATTTTAGAAATAAAAGACAGAATAAAACGTTCCAGATTCATCTTAATTTCTTACAATAAAAACATAAAAACAACTCGAGAAAATGTTGTTCAAGTATTAACCAGCCTAACATCCTACTTTGATTTTTTAATATTCAATGGTATAATTGGCTGGTTAAGAACAGAAGTGATCCAAATAACATTTTTAGAAAAACTGAGCTATGTCACTTTTTGAACTTTTTTGGCGACAAATTAGTTAGTGCAAAAGCAATTCAGCATTTATATTAACACAGTTCTATTTTCGACAATTCTTCATTATCCTAGAAATATAAAATTATTAGTGCAGATGTGATCTAAGTAACTTGATTGTTACTTGGATCACTTCACTGGGTCTATTGGCTTCTACTTCCTCTTATTTCAGTATTTCCCAGTATAAATTGATTAAAAGATCAGTGACTACTTTATGTAAAAGAGGTCTACTTATGACCATACGCAAACTCTTATGGTTTCAAGTAGTTACTTAAAATAAAAGGACTTATATTTTTCCGGTACTGGCTTATTTTTATTTTAATAAAAATAAGATCTGTCTTAAATAAGTCAGTTATAACTTGATAATTTTTAAGGTAGCTATGAAGCATCCTTTTTTATCAACGGTAGTTGCTAGTATACTTTGTTAAAAACATGGTGGATTTCATAAATGTTCGTAACAGGAAGAATTATAGGAAGAGAAGAAGCATCAGCCCAAGAAAATCTAAGCTCTTGTTGCGTTTTAAAAGTGAATTTCGGATTATTTTTTACCAAAGATAGATTAATCCAGAGGAGGTGCACTTGCAGCTCGGCATGTTAGTGATACCGGATTTCAAACAGGTATTGGTGTAGATTTTGGCGTTCATCATACTACAGCATGCAAAACCATAAGTACAGTAGCTGATTGTATCTTCGAAAAGGCCCACCACGGAATAAAATTTCCATCTAATCTAGATGCCATGGAAGAAGCAAGAATTAAATGGTCGAATCGATTCCAAATTCCTACAGTCATTGGTGCTCTAGATTGCACGCATGTTCAAATTAAAAAACCACCAGAATTTGACGATGATTTAATTAACAGAAAAGGATTTGCTAGCATAAATGTGCAAGTAACTTATGATGCTAATGAATTGATTACAAGTGTAGACGCTCAATGACCTGGAAGTGTTCACGATTCCAGAATCTGGAAACAAAGTTCCATATATAAAAATGTGACAAGATTTCGGGATAATTTCTGCCTTCTGGGAGACAGTGGATATGAAATTGCTCCTTGGCTCTTAACACCTGTTAAAACTCCTTAAAACCGAATTAAATAATTATTCAATAATACTCACTCCAGGGAATTGAAAGTTTTTGGACAACTAAAGCAAAGGTTTCCCATTCTAGGACACAAAAGTTCCAAACAATATTGTTTGCTGTGCTGTTTTACATATTATTAGCAAGCATCTATGAAATGCTTTTGAGTTTGCATTAGATGAAATGGAAAGTCCTGGAGACTCCGATTACGTGTGTGATAAAGCTGAAAACAATAACTTTCGTCAGAGAGGTACTGAGAAACGTCAAGCAATACTGGAGATAATGTTTAGTGATAATATTTAAATACTAACTTAAGTTAAATAATTTTCTAAAGATTTGGGAATATTTCAAAATTGATTTACTTTTTTATTGTGAGTTAAATCAAGTTATCTATTGTTAAAAAGACCACAAACCTTTGAAAGTTCGTTCAGATGGGATTTTATTTTATTGATCTTAGTGTAGTACTCATTTAAGTTTTAGATATTGTTAAAAATATATATTTTTTAATCAAAGCTATAATAATCTCTCTCAAAGTTTCAGACACATAAGTTACGATATAACGTTTTTGTTTGCAGTAGAATGTTATGCTTACTTACTTTAGTTAAAATTGAATGTGTTAGAATGTAGAATTTCATACTGAGTTTGTTTAATTAAAGCAATTACAAACACAATATAAATTTTATTACATAAAATTCCTAATGTAAAAACTAACATAATATATACAAAACAGAAATATATATTTTTAAGTTACAAGTTTCTGATTCACTACAAGTCTATAAATTAGTAAAGCAGGAACTTCATCAAGTTCACAAAATATGGGGCAAACAGAAAAAGTAGTAAAAGAACTCGAAAACGCAGAAAAGAGAAGATATTTGAAAGAAATATTATTAAAGAAACCCGAAACAAAAGTGAACAGTATATCAGTTATTCTGGAAAAACCAAAAGCTTCTATTTCTAGTATTTGCGAAAGAAAGTGTGATCATGTTTCTAAAACGATACAAGAGAGTATTCACTGTAAATTCTATAGTTTGGACTAAAACGAATAAACTACATGACTATGTGCCACTGTGAAAATAAGTTTACATATGAGATGAAAAACGTGTTCCTAGAGGATCTAGTAATAAGCAACACACTCGAAGTTTCTTTTTCGATGAGAATAAGGTTTTTAAGTCTTAAGGTACCAACTATGAAGACTAGAGGTAAGGAGGCGAATCGGCATACTCAAAATACGGTCCCAAAAAATTCACGCTAATTGAGCTTTAATAATTAACCGCATGGGCGCTGGTACTGCTTACGGTGTTCAAAATACATGGCTTTTTATGGGAATTATACATAATTTAGTCAAAATAATAAAAATAAACTTGTTTATAGCTAAATAAAGCCCAGTACATACTGTTGTATTTATTTCTAAATAAGTCTTCTGTTTTAATTGATAAATTATTTAAATTTATCTAGCCTCCTTTTCTCTAGTCTTCATAGTACCAACCTACCAAAAAATGTAAGATTTGAAGAAAATGCTGCACTATGTCTCCGTCCGTTTTATTTAAACTTACCACCCCTTAGTAGGAGAAACAGTCCAGTTGAAAATCTAGAGGAGTGATGAATGTGAACAATAAGTCATTGCTAATTATTAATAAAAGTATTTTTATATAAGAGCCTTTTTGTTTCATTTCTGTAACATCATATAGTATTTTTTCATTAAAGCAGAAGTGATCCAAGTTCAAAAAGTGTCATTTTACTTCTTCAATATTGGATGTGTCAAACAAATCTTCAAGTAAAGACTAAATTAACTTACTATCTGTCATAACATTACCAATTACTTCTGTTCTTAACTAGCCAATTAGGTTCTTATAATACTTTTTCCTTTTGAAACATTTCCAAACATAATCACGAACTAAATCTTAACATCCAATTAAAGTGTGATAGACTCTGGATTAGAATAAATAAATATAGTTATTTGTCTCCATCAGGAAAATAAATCTTCAATGGAATAATTATATTTAAACTTTTACGGTTTCATTTAAATATAAGGAAACTTAATTCTTCTTATAGAAGCAATTAATTATAATTTTCCTGGGTATGTTGGCTATTAATATTCACTGGTGGACAAATTATTCCAACAGCGAAAGTGGATCACATAAAAATGTCAACGTGAAGTAACAAAATGTCGAAAATTTACATATCAGAAGCGGAATATTCATGAAACACAAAACCTTTTTGTATTTTATCAACTAGCAGGATCTCATTGCTTTGATGTTCGAATTCATGTACCTAATAAATTATATTCAAAAATACTTGCGGCAAAATTCCGCAACACAGAACAAAAATGTTAATAGTGTAATAGCTATTTTTGTCACAAGAAGGTAATATCAGGGTATATTGGCCGACTCTATTATACTAATATTCGACCTTTAATTCACCCCCTTACGAATGAACCCCCGAAATTCTGAAAGAAGTTGAAACACCTGTAATCTTTCATCGTGATTGAGGCATTTGTTGTCAGTAAAGACATTATGCGCAAGCTTGACATGTGCAGGCACTTTTGGAATAATGCAAAATGAAGAAGCAAGAGGAATATTAAGAGAAATGGCATCTTTATAAGTTGTATGTTTTATGTGTAATAAAATTTATTTATTTATGACATAATAATAAATGTTACAGTCCAATGAATAAGGAATAGACAGCTATTATGATTATTTGCCGTGGCGCTCCGGGGAGACTTACAGATTATTGATGCGTCGCTTTCCAGTTTAATATAGAATGATTATGTTTGTTATCTAGTAGGTATATCTAAATATACTTCTTACCTTGTTTGGCATATGAAGATAAACTCCTTTCTTAAACAACATCATAGCGCAATCCGCATGACCGTTTAGGGAGGCGATGTGCATCAAGGTGGATCCATCTTTGGTTCTTTCAAAAATACTGGCCTTGAATTTGTCAGCCAGTAGTTCGATGATATGAGCGTGACCATTTTCGGCGGCTGGAATAGATTTCAATTATAAGTAAATGTATCTTTGACATTTTGCCTCCGCTGACAGAAAGTATAAATAAAAGTTTTGTAACTAAGAACAATTTCTTAGTAATATAATATATTCTAATCTTTTCCTCCTAATAAAATAATAAATAATTTTTTACACCCACGTGAATATTATCTATTCTAAAAAATGAAAAAGTAGGACATTGCGTTCTACTGAACCGATATAATTTCATATCCATTCTGGCAAGGACACTGCATGCATATGAAAGCTAACAATCCCAGATTTTATTTGACGATCGGGCTACTATTTTTATTTTATTTATAGTTCTTAGTCGTGTTAAAGAAAACTCCAACTTAAGACCTTAAGACCCTGTATATTGTGGGTTATTGACATTAAAGTAACCCTGATAAATTGACATGCAGTTATGACGTATATTTAGTTAGAGCTAGGCTTTCTAATCTATGAATTATTGCATGATTTGATTATTTCGTGCACATACGTAAAAAAGGTGTTAGATTTAATAATGGGGTTAGTCTTATGAACGCTGTTCTCTACAATTGTGCGAAATTACCATAATTATTAGATTATTGCGTGCACAATTTTGCTCTAATGACTTGAGAGTTATCGATTAGACTTTCTAACGTCATTGAAAAGAAAAAAATAGGTTGTGAATTTTTCTTAGATCATTTTTATTTTTGACGTTAAATAGGGAGAAAAAACACCCAAATACCATTAGTCATAAAAAATTTTTGACAATATAATTATTGTATTTACTAAAATTATCAAGGTAACATTTGGGAAGGCGAGATCCAGTAAGACGACAGGCGACAGAAAGCAAGCATAAAATAATACTGCCTCTCTTTAATCGGTTGCGCGATTCCAAATATGTTTTATAAAATTACATTTGTCCAAACGTGAAGAGACCGTGTTCGGATACCTTACGCTGTAGTTTTACGCCTGTCGCCTTACTCGGTCTCGCGTTTCCAAATGGTATCTTTATCTGAAGCTTAGAAGCTTAGGACTAACTGACCTTGAATAACACATTTAAATTACTGACTTACCCAAATGCATCGGTGTCCTGTCCTGATTGTCGATTACTCCAGCAGATGCTCGCACTCCATAGAAATACTTAACCAAGATCTCATCTCCTTCAGCTGCTGCGATATGTAACGGTGCTTGGCCTTCTCCATTACGGATATCCACGCTTGTTCCGTAATCCACCAATATCCTAACCTATCAGCAAATGAAACTAATTAATCTAAAATACAATTTTATTTTTATTTGTATCTATTTATATAGTACGAAGGCCCAGACATTGTAATTATTTTTAGTTTCGAATTTAAAGTGGCACATGCTCTTTACTAAAAGGACATGCTTACAGCTTCCAGAAGATTTTTAGAGCGAATCTAGTTAATCATTCTTACTATTCCAAGATAACATAAGGATTTGTAAAGTTGATAAAACTTACTTAGCTACTAGATGTGCTACCGTATATAACCCTAAAGAAAAAGGGAAAATACGGGTGAGTTTCCGGTTTACGATTCTTAGCCTTGGATTTACGATTTTTTTATGCACAAAAATATATTTGAAATATCACTATATAATCACTATACAGGGTGTCAATTTGAAAACTTTTAGTGCGAATATTTCGCAAAATAAAAAAGTTGGAAAAACGCCGTTTGGCAGAAATGTTATAGAGTTAAGGGGAACTAGATTTACCATTTTTAAGTGAACGGGTGAGTCACCCCTTAGACGCGACACACTCCAACTTTAAAATATCAAATGGCACTACCCCTTTTGTGATACCTCAAATGAAAGGTTTCATTTAGTAGTATTCACCTATACAAGAATTTTTTCCATTCAATACAGGGGAGGGGGTAACAAAAACAAAAAATTTGAATAAAAAAATTTAATGATATTTTATTTGATTAGATGTTCAAAATGCATTCCATTTTGTGCTAAACAATAGTATATTCGATTTTAAAATTCTGTTCTAACATTGTGAAACACTTATCTTGGAATATTGCTGCATTCCGTAATAATTCGTTGCCGAAAATCTTCTATTGAATCCTGTTTTGTTTTAAATACGATGGATTTCAAATGTCCCCAGAGAAAAAAGTCAAGAGGTGACTGGAAGAACGTAGTGGGGTGGTGCTCCGTCTTGCTGAAAATGTATTAAATTTTGATTCAGATTCCTGTTTCCGTCAATGTCCAGCTGATTTTCAATTTCTTCAACAATGAGAGGTTGAATGGTGGTGTCTAACATTTCTAAGTAAGTATCGCCATTAAGATTGCCATTAATAAATAATGGCCCAATCACAGTGTCGCCTAAAATTCCCGCCCAGACATTTATTTTTTCTGGATACTGCGTGTGCTCTTCCCTGAAGAAATGCGGATTTTTGTCACTCCAATACTTGCAGTTGTGTTTGTTTACTGAACCGTTTAAATGAAACGTGCATTCGTCGCTAAAACAAATATTTTTTAGCAACTAGGGAGTAACACCTAACATTTCTGTTGAAATTACATTCAACGTGTCCTATCTGCTAAATACTAGGTAGACACTCCCTGTATAAACCTCCACTTTTAACAAACAAAAATAATAAAGTACTGAATAGTCACTCCCTGTATAAACTAATTATCTAAACTTGCGAAACAACACGCTTGACTTTCAAATGACCGCCAGACACCTGTTATGTTGCAAAGACACCTGTTATGGCGCAAACAATTAATATGATCACGTACGCAAACATGCGATCTGGACCGGCCAATGAGAAAAAAGCCAGTAAACCGACGCGGGCCAGCAGGCTTGCATCGGAAAGAACAACTTACCACTTTCGTTTAGTCAGTCAAACAAAACACATCAAAAAAATCTTGTCAACGACGGCAGCAAGCCGAAAAATTAAGTTAAAGCATTTGTGCGATTTGATTTAAAAAAGTTGTAACATGTAATCAATTAATAATTTATGTAACCAAGTAATAATATGTAAAATGTGCAATCAATAAGCCGTGAATATACAAAATTCAAATATAGTGTGATAGTTTCATTTGAATAAAATCAGTGCAACAACCAGAACTTCGAGAGTATCTTCCAGAGGCTACAGGGTGAAGCATAAGGCCTTCACCCCAGGTAACATATTTTGAACATAGTCATACAGTCCACCATGATCGAAGGCAGTAAATGTCAAGCCTTATAAACCCAGGGTAAGACAATTTCGGTCATGTCCTCGCAAAATTGCATTCTTCGATCGGGGTCATCCTCCTGCAACTCCTGGAGAATTTGCATTTTGTACGGGTAAAACTTATGAGGTTTGAGTACCCGACGAACAGCTTCATGAGAAATTCCCGTTATCGCCGAAGCTTGGCGTAGAGACATTGTCGGATTCATAGCAAAATGTTCCAAATCTTCCACTTGTGCTGCTTCATTAAGTACTCTTTGATGGACCCTTCGTTTGCCACTGATCCTTTGTTTGCCACTGATCCTGTTTCTTCAAATTTAATAATCAGTTGTCTGATGTAAGAATGCTTTTTCCGGGGTTTATTTCGTTAAATGCTGCAGCAGTTCTTAAGGCAAAACGATTTTCTGAACCATAAATAAACACCATCTGAATTCTTTCAGCCAAACTGTAGACCATGATGAACAGAAAATAAATATTATACTCGTATTTCTTCAATTAGACAGTTCTGACTTTGCAGTACAACCTTGCACAAACGACTAAATTTTATAAAAACATTGATAGGTAGGTACGTACCCGATAAATTCAAATCTCAGATAAGTGCTCCGAAATTTTAGAATGGAATTTGAAGTTTTTTTTGTTTACAAAAAAATATAATGCTTGTTGACCATCTAATGAAATAAAATATCATCTTAATAACAATAATGGAGTTTGAAAATCGATTGTACTATCGTTTAGAAATAAATGGAATGCATTTTGAATTATCTGATCAAATAAAGTTCCATTTTAACAAAATACAGTTTAATTTATTCGAATTCATGTTTTTGTTATACCCTGTATTGAATGGAAAAAAATTCTTGTACAGGTGAATACTACTAAATGAGACCTTTCATTTGAGGTATAACAAAAGGGCAAGTGCCATTTGACATTTTAAAGTTGGGGTGTGTCGCGCCTAAGGGATGACTCATCCCTTCACTGAAATATGGTGGTTCCGATTCCCCCTAACTTTATAACATTTGTGCCAAACGGCGTTTCTCCAACTTCTTTATTTTGCGAGATATTCGCATTGAAAGTTTTCAAATTGACACCCTGTATAATAAGTCCTTACTGATAAACTTAAGAATTTTTCAGTAACGGGTTTAGGATTTGTTGGCGAAATAAATATAAAATTTTATCAATTTGACAAATCCTTATGCCATCCTGGATTAGCAAGAATTAATATAGCTGGATTTATTCTAAAAATCTTCCGTATACTTTGGAAAACATAAGGAAAGTATCCTCTTTTTATACCAACGTTAATTTCTGACTTTGACATCGAAACTCATAATTTTGAGTTCAAGTTTAACATTTTATGTTTATTGTCTAATTAAAAAATTACCCTGTGGCCCCTTCTACGTCTTCGTAGTATAGCCAGATATTCTTATACATTTAGGCGTATACAGATACTATATAGTCCCTATAAGATTCCTATAGCGATTATATTAAATAGAATTGTCTGCTATTGTACTAACTTTATCCAGGAAGTTCAATATATTATGTATAATGTTCTCTATTATTATATTTCATTAACATGTCCGTTTGTAATAACACATGAATCTTGAGGTAATATAAAGTTCTTCCAGATCCTTTTTAAACTAAAATGGTTACTTGTTTGTTTCACATCATTACCAAAATTCCATAATGTTTCTACTTTTCACTCATTAACTCTTTCAGGGGCGATGGTACAAAATATGGACCACAAAAATTATACATTATATGCGCGCTGGTCTACAAAATGTACCATACATTTCTAAAACGACAACTTAATTCGCACTGGACTGTTTCGTCATAGCCTAAAGAATAATATAGCCGCGACACTCAACCTCTATGGCGAAGCAACGAGATTGGGTTTTCTCCGTGAAGTCAGTGAAGTAGAGATGTTCGATACATAGAAAAGTATCGATACTGCGTATCGATTCAGATCGAAGTTTAATGTATCGATACAATTTAATATCGTAAGCACCAGTATCGATACTCAAAATATCGAAATGGTATATTAATGTACTTAGTACAAGTAAATTAATTTTAAAGGCTGTATGTCACGATACTAAATTAAGTACTAAATTTAGCACTAAATTAAGTCATTAATTTAGTACTAAATTTAGAACTAAAAATATTTTTTTTTCGTTTGCAACGATACCAATTTTTAGTACTAAATTTACTATGGGCGCACGCGCATTGACGTATTAATACGTGAAATTAGTAGAGAAATGAAATATTCTGTGTAAAACAGACAAGTGAAGTAAATGGTGTTTTTATTATCAATTTGATACTAGTTGACTTGACAACCAAATACAGCATAAAAACCACGGAAAAACACAATAAAACCTACAAAATCAAACAGGCGAACTTTATTCAAGGCGATAATGTGAAATTGTCGCTAATTAAAAATAAAAGAAATACCGTCGTGTCAACTTTTTCTATGAAAAACTTCTGCGCAACATTTCGGCGCACTTTTAGTACTAAATTTAGTAGAAAATAGAACAAGATCTAATTAATTAATGACTTTTTTTAGTACTAAATTTAGTACTAAATTTGCTGTTTGCAACGTGAATTTTTTTAGTACTTAAAAAATGCATTAATTTAGTTCTAAATTTAGTACTTAATTCAGTATCGTGACATACAGCCTTAAAATATTGCAGTGCAATAATCATATACGGAAGTATAAATAGATTTTTAGGTGTACAATTAAAAAAATATATACAATATTTCAAGCAATCTAAGTATGTTTAATATATTATCCAAATATGGCAGTTTAAATTCGTAATTAGTAATTCATAAGTGTTATTTTATTTTCGATACGATTTAACATATACATGTATCGATACGGGGTATATTTAAGTCGTAGAATATCGATACAAAATATCGAGTTTCGAACTCCTGAATATCGATACTGTCAAATATCGTATCGAATCGCACATCTCTACAGTGAAGAGACGGCCAGTTAGCGGTTGCCTGTTGAGGTGTGCACAGCAGTTATTTCGATTCTTATCTGGGCCGAACTAAGGACAATTTTTGCGA